TGGCCGAACAGGTCCGTACTTTGCTTAGAATTTAATTATTTGGGGTTTTGTTAGGAATGATACTAAACAATATTTATTTATTTATGTATGTATTTATGTTTAAATCTAAAATAAAATTACAAATTATTTTTATTACCTTCTTAAATTACTTAAAATTATTCACTATCACTATCAGTATCACTATCGCTATCATCGCCTGTTCTAATTATTATTTGTTCATTTGCAATATGGATATACGTTTGTTCTGCTTTTTCTACATGTTTAACAGAATTGGACTAACTTTGTGGAGTGATGTTAAAAACTTCGGTTTCTATAAGTTTGGGGACATTGGAGTTAACACGGGGAAAAACATTGTTACGACAAATGGTAGAGTTCAGTTGGTGCCAAACATGTTCAATGGGATTGAAAATACATTTTTTGCATAATTATCGCAGACGTATTCCTTTTGTAGGTTCAAGCTTTGTAGAACCTCAATTAATTGGTTTTTAGTATAATCTTCATGAAAATAAATGTCGTTATTATACATGTAGTTTTGGATTTTTGCTTTGGTGTCACATGAGGAAGGGATTTTAATCAACTGTCTACTATGATAACAATTACGCTATTAGGAGGTATGTTTGGAACTAGTTTGTTTTTAAACCAACTTTCAAATAAATCAGCGGTGGCGTCTTCATGGTAATCCAGAGAAGAATCTTTAATATTTTTCCCAGACAGAGAAACTCCATTTGGAATCCAACCATCTTTAGAGTTAGCATGCAAAATAGTTATCCTTTAACCTCTTTTTGATGGCGCGTTTGTTTTACACTTATCAGTTGAGTCAACCCCACCCGGGGTATCATCAGTGTCGAAGCAAGTTTCATCCAAGTAAATAATTGGCCATTGTTGTTCTCTGTAAATTCTAATATTTTCTAGATATTCCAGTCGCCATTTCCGAATTCTAAAAGATTCCATTAAAACTTTTCTTTTGTCAATTTTTGAAATCTAAAACCCACGTGTTGAATACACTTGCATAAGGTAGTTCTGCGACATTTAACACCGGTTTCATCTTTTTCAAGCCTCCTCATTAAGTTATCTAATGTAGGAACGCTTTGTTTCTCGTATAACTGGTAAATTTTGCGCCGTATTATATATTGATCACTTTCATCTACACTCGAGAGAATGTCAGCATCGCTTCTTTTTTTCCTTACAGTTGATGTTGGAATTTTCGTCAATGTGGCCGTTTCTTCTAAAGATGCTTGCTTGCTGGCACCACGTTCAATGAGAGTCAAATAAACATTGTTTATAACTTCCGTAGTCCCAACAGAATAGTGTTTTCTACATTTGGGCAGGAGCGCCTCCTGAGGTACACTAGACTCGCACATATTTCGCATAATTTACACGCGCTGTATTACACACGAAATAAGAATGATTACTAATAAACTTAAACTAAGTAGAATACCAAACCAAATAATATTAAACACAGGTAGGTATAAAATTATTTTCAGTTACGGACCACAATTTTACCTGAATTTAAATTTCGAAACTTTAGGTAATAATCTCGTTGGATCTCTGAACTAGAACTTGGATACAAAACAGTGCTTCTCTAGTTCCAAGGTTATTACAGAACCCTTGGATAATCCCATTCAAAAGCAATTGGTTACTTTCTTATGTCTATGAACAGACCATACGTAATATTGTCTACCTGCTCAAGCGGGACCCCATACGCTGTAATCACATACACGTCTACCGGTTATGTACTTACAATCATACATTTCGTCTTTGAGGTGTTCAGTTTTAGTCCATATTCGTTACTTACATTGGTGAGTCTAGCGCAAAGCATTTGTAGTTCTTCCGGAATATTGGCTAACAGAACAGTCAGCATATCTTAAATTATTGATGCTAACAACATTTATTTTAATCCCTCCATCGAATTCATCGAAAGCTTCCCTGAAGATGTACTCAGAGTACAGGTTTAAAAGCAATGGCGACATAATGCATCCCTGTCTTACATACCGCCGAATTGCCACGGAGTCCGAGATGTTTTGGTCAATACTAATGTTTGCTCGTTGATGCTCGTTAATTATTCGCATGTTCCTGTCACCAACACCTGCTTGCTGGAGGATTTCCATCAGTTTGTCGTGTCTGACCTTGTCGAAAGTCAATAAAGCACATATAAATGGGGTGGTTGACATCTTTGCATCTCTGAACTAGAACTTGGATACAAAACAGTACTTCTCTGGTTCCAAGGTTATTACAGAACCCAAATTGCGTTCTGCTAATTTGTTCCTCAATTTTGGTGTAGATTCCGTGATTAATTATTCGAAGCAAAATTTTCAGGACGTGACTCATTAAGCTAATTGTTCGGTGGTCAGAGCATTTCCCCGAGTTACCTTTTTTGGGAAGTGTCACAAAAGTTGATTGTAACCAATCAGTTGGTATGAATCCGGTTTCATATATTTTATTGAAGACACATAAAAGGGACTGTTTTCCTTTATTATCAAGAAGTTTCAGTATTTCTGAAAGTATTCCATCCGGTCCCATTGCTTTTTTATTTTTTGGCGATTTTATAGCCTTATTTAATTCGTCTAATGATATCGTAGGACCCGTTATACAATGTTGCATTTCATTTTCTGACCGGTCGTCACCAAACAGTTCTTCTATGTATTCCTCCCATGTTCTTAGTTTGTCTGTTATATTTATATTAGGATTGCCATTGTTGTCAACTAGTCTATGCGGTCTCTTAGTGTTTGTGCCTTTTACTTCTTTAATTTTCTTATGCAGATTGAATGCATCATGTTTCAACTGCAATTCCTCAATCTCCCTGCATCAGTTTTCGTACCATATTTTGCAGCTCGAATATTTATTCTGATTTCTTTATTGATGAGGTTGTATTTTTGTTGGTCTTGATTTTTATTGTGTAGAATAACAATAATAATAACAATTACAATACAAGGATGAAATTTCAAAACAGGTCCAAAAATTTGTTCTTGTCATAGTCATCGACTTCAAAAAGTCCATATATTTTGAAACAATTTACATCTGAACTACCAACACTGGATAGTAAAAAGGTCTGAGAAGACTGTAGATAAACACTAAAAATATACAGGGTCCAATATGTCACTGGGCGATTTTTGAACTATTCTTCAAAATAAATAGGGATGTTATTTTTTTTTATTTGAGGTGGACATTTCCAACAATGTAAATATGTCGAGATGTATTGTATGAATACTATGATAAATAAAAACATTAGAAAACATTACTAAATGTTAAAATACGTCACCAATAATATTAATAGACATTTTTGTGAAGAAAATTAAATATATATATTATCTTAGAAGAAAAAAAAGAAAAATTAAGCAATGAACTAAAACTTTACTGGAAGTTTTTTCTAGTTTTTATTTGTAATCGCCGACAATAGAACGTTGCTTTTTCCTCTCTTAAAATAATGTTTTGATTGATTAATTAGGCAAAGGATTAAGATCTTCCCATCTAGGAATTGCTTCGTTTCTTCAGTTTGATTTATTGACACATGAAAGTCCTTCATTATTGGATGTGAGGAAACCGTAGCAATCTATAGCAGTAACTTGTAGCAGAGACTGGTCAGGTTAAAATTGTCGCTTTTCACTGTGCACGGAGTATGAAGAGTAAATCTATTTTTAGAAAGTGAAGTAAAGTAAAATCATAGGTCAGAGCAGAAAATGTCACTCTTATTTTGAAGTCCGAGTATTATGAATTTGATAAAAAATGTAATTAATAACATACCAATTGAATGCTGGAAAAATTTCATTACAGCACATTATAAACATCGAGGACTCTTACATTTCTAAACAAAACAACGTAAATCCTATTATAATTAATCTCAATGACGACTCTGAGGGTGAAACAGAATTAGATTTAGACATTTTTGAATAAAAATGTAATTATGTAAACATATTCCTAGCTATGAATTAATAATAATAATAATAATAATAATAATAATAATATTGCCAAAAATTCCTTTTACATAAAAAATAATTTTATAGTAAAGAACCTATAGGGTCAAAATACTGCCCGTACATAGGTTGGCCATAACATAACTTACAACTATAACTTACAACTACTTAATATTGGTTGTGAATTGCACCTCGCCAATTATACACAAATATATTTTAAAAAATTAACTAAGGTGGTTTTTACTTGATGAAAATCCATTTATCAAAATAAATAAGAACTAAAAGTTCAAATTTGACATTTCACATTTGAAAAAGACACGGTGTTGTCGAAACACACGAATTGTCATGTCAAAATGTATAATTTCGTGAAAATTTGAACTTTTAGTTCTCATTTATTTTTTTAAATACATTTTACTTTTTATCATTTTACAAATTGAGAAAAACTTTTAGATATTTTCAATTTTATTGTTACATTTTATTTATTAGATTGTAACACTTCTAACGTTTTCCTTAACTTTTTTTTAAGTACTTTTTTGTCAACATTGAGATTTTTCAGTTCATTAGGTAATTCATTAAAATATTTTACTGCATAATACACATAGCTTCTTTGTCCAATAGTCAGTTGGTGTCGGGGCAAAATAATACTTTTATTACGAGTGTTCATTTGATTTTGTATATATTCATTTTTTAATTCACTATATTGATACACCACTGAATTTACCACAAAAGCTTATTTGATACAAAAAAAATGTTATTACCAGAACCTTTCACCGTCCGTCTTCTGTCCCACTTACTCCCAAGTAATACACTCGTGATCGTTAGTGACGGCTGTCTTGCATTGATCAGATAGACATTTAGTGCGGAACGACATCTGCAAGATGAACAATCTGTTTTATTCTGTCTGGCATTTTCGTACCGAGTATAATAATAAATTTATAAAAAAAAAAAAAACAAACACATAATGAAATAGAGAAACGCATGTATTAATTCCCGCCAGTGCGCAAAAATGACGTCGATTTTGCGGATTAAATCCGGTACACAGCAACCTGTAGAACAACCTACAGATAACGAAAGATTTGGGACATCCATTTTACGACCGCGAGATTATTGCCACACAAAAGCGACATCAACTATTTCAAACCGCGTTATTCCGTCCGTGAAAACGTTTCAAACGAGCCGGTCTTGAATGAACCGCTGCCATGTAATTGAAAACAATTATCGTTAATGGCAAATTTTGTAAAGGTAAGTTCTCGATATCTTTTGTAAAAATTAATTCCTTATCTATAATGAGCCTAACCGAACCGGTCGTCAAATTATTTTAAACATCCACTCGAAAATCCGCGCTCGAGCGGCATCGCTGCGACGTACACGGCATCGTCAAAAAACTAGTAACGCGTCATTCGTCTCAACGTCTCAATCTCATTCATTCTTGATTGTTTGTTTTCGACGCAGAAAAATTACGTTTTCTATAAAATTCCGTGGTTGCCTTGTTCGCAAATGCATTTTAAAGTTCATTCCCACAACACCACATTCTACAACATCTCGACGGTTTGCCAAAATTTCTCAGCTCTAGCCTCTAGGCTCAATCATACCGAACTTTCCACTGTATGTAATCTCCAAGAAAATGAAACTATTCCATGTTTACATGTTTTCTTTATAATCAGGTTAGAACTGACTTGTTTCATGCTATGAAGGTTTACTCTTTTCGTCCTTGAAGTTAATGTTCAGCCCACAAAATGAGCTCTTAACTTCACTGGAATTTCATCGAAACCTACTAGAAAAAGTGTAATTATATTTATTTATCCAAGAATCCTCCTTGGAGCTACCGTTCAATCCAAAACGTGAAATTTTAGGTTGATCTCTGCAGGTTCGATGAAGTTTCCGTAACATTAAGTGGTGAAAACGCTGACAGTTCCTCGAAATCTACTGATGAAGTTTCACTCCTTTCGCCCTTGGATTTACTGTTCAGCCCACAAAATGAGCGGTTATCTTCGCTGAAATTTCATCCACTTGTTTAGAGATGTGGAGTTCAAATAAGTGGTCATCTTCACTGGAATGCACTGGTAAAGTTTCACTCTTTTCGTCCTTGGAGTTGGGCCCACAAAATGAGCGGTTAACTTCACCGCAATTTCATCGAAACCTACTAGAAAAAGCGGAATTTTAATCATTTAGGCGCAATCCAAAACGTGAAGCCTTAGGTTGATCTCTGCAGGCTCGATGAATTTTCTGTAACAATAAGGGATGAAAATGCAATTGCAAATGCAAAATGCAATTTTATCTATTTGTTTAAAGATGTGGAGTTCAAATTAATAGTCATCTTCAAGAGAACATTATCGAAATCTACTGGTGAAGATTCACTATTTTCGTCGAACGAAACCCTGTAGAAAAAGCAGAATTTTACTTATTTGCCCAAGATTTGTCCTTGGAGCTACCATTCAATCCAAAAATTGAGATCTTAGGTTGATCTCTGCAGGTTCGATGCAGTTTCCGTTACATTAAGTGGTGAAAAAGCTGAAAGTTCCTCGAAATCTACTCGTGAAGATTCACTCTTTTCGTCCTTGAATTTGCTGTTCAGCCCACAAAATGAACGGTTATCTTTACTGAAACTTCATCCACTTGTTTAGAGATATGGAGTTCAAATAAGGGACCATCTTCACTGGAATGTTAACAAAAACTACTGGCGAATTTTCACTCTTTTCGTCCTTGGCGTTACTATTGAACCCACAAAATGAGCGGTTAACTTCATTGCAATTTCATCGAAATATACTAGCAAAAGCGGAATTTTAATCATTTACCTAAGAAGCCTCCTTGGAACTAATGTGCAATCCAAAACGTGAAGTCTTAGGTTGATCTCTGCAGGTTAGATGAAGTTTCTATAACAATAAGTGATGGAAAAGCTTTAATTTTATCGCAATCTACTTGGAAGAGTGAAGGTTCACGTTTTTCGTCTTTGGAGCCCACAAAATGAGCGGTTATCTTCATTACAATGTCATCTTTTTGTTTAAAGATGTGGAGTTCAAGTAAATAGTCATCTTCACTGAAATGTTATCAAAATCTACTTGTCAAGTTTCACTTTTTCCATCTTTGGAGTTACTGTTGGATCCACAAAATGAACGGTTATCTGCCCTGCAACTCCAACGGAACATACTAGAAGGAGCAGAATTTTACCCATTTGCCCAAGATTCGTCCTTGGAGCTACCGTTCAATCCAAAAATTGAGATCTTGGGTTGATCTCTACAGGTTGGATGCAATTTCCGTAACATTAAGTGGTGAAAAAGTTGTAATTTCACTGGTGAAGCTTCACTCTTTCCGTGCTTGGAGTTACTGATCAGTCCACAAAAACCTACTAGAAAAAGCAAAACATTACTCATTTACCCAAGAAGCCTCCTTGAAGCTTCCGTTTAATCCAAAATGTCGGGTCATAGGTTGATCTCTGCAGATTCAATGAAGTTTCCATAATATTAAGTTGTAAAAAAGCTCGAAATCTACTGGTGAAGTTTCACTCTTTTCGTCCTTGGATTTACTGTTCAGACCACAAAATGCGCGGTTATCTCCGCTGAAATTTCATCCACTTGTTCAAATATATGGAGTTCAAATAATGGGTCATCTTCACTGGAATGTTATCAAAATCTACTGGCGAAGTTTTACTCTGTTCGTCCTTGGAGTTACTGTTGACCCCACAAAATGAGCGGTTAACTTCACTGCAATTTCATCGAAACCTATTAGAAAAAGCGGAATTTTGGTCATTTACCAAGAATCCTAATAGGAGCTTCTGTTTAATCCAAAATGTTAGGTCTTAGGTTGGTCTCTGCAGTTTCAATGAAGTTTCCGTAAAGAAAAAGTGGTGAAAAAACAAAAATTTCATCGAAATCTACTAGGAAGAGTCGATTTTCACGCTATCTTCTTTATTTTCTAAAACTTAGATCTTTTCTCATTAATGAATAATTTTGTTTTGCCTTCCCAACGGTTTTCGGGAAAATTAGCAGTGACTTTGATTTTCTTATAAACGATCAACAACAAATAAAAATAAAAATAAAACATTTTTAAATCAATACCTGATAAGTAGAAAATGTACGTAAAATCATTAATATTGTAATAAAGATAGTTTTGTTTCTTTTAAACGAACCTTATCAATTTAACCACTCGACACACTAACATAAATCGTCATTTGGGTTTAATACGAGGACACAGAAAGCATTTTATAATTTAAAGTAAACTTTAAGTACTTGAAAATGTTCAAAAATAATAATGATAAATATTTATTACACGTAAAACAATAAATAACGCAATTTATCATAATATTTGTTTGGAAAATGGATAATTGTTAAAAATCGGCGTCAAACTTGCGTCACAATTAGCAACAATGGTGCAAAAGAGATCCCAGGATATTTTCCGCAATATTCTCCGTCTCAACTAACGCTTGGAATTAAAATTCTTACAAATGATCGCTGTAGCAAAACAATGAATTCCCGTAATTATAGGCTATTTCAGAAAAGTGGAGAGTGATAAAATGTGGAAATTCCATCCGCTCAATGTCGGTATCGATCATAGGCGTAGGTTATGGGTTTTGGATGGGAAAAGCATAACCGTAAGGAACTTTTACGATGAAATTGTTTTCGGCGAAGATACTCGAACAGTATAAAGAAGCATTGAAGGCAGCAGGAGAAAATCTTTCGAATCTAAATTTCGAGAAATAAAAATAATTTTAGTCTCCTGTTGTACTCCCGTGGCATTGTTTAGATGTTGTTGAGGTCTATTTTGGTGCAATGGTAGAAATCTAGCATGGAAAAGAATTAACTTTTACATATAGCAAATTTACACAAACATCGTTTTGTGAAATACGTCTTGTAGCAAAACACAACACGAAATTCGAAAGACCCTACGTTGCTGTTTGATCAAGTCATTAAGGAAGTGAATCCATAATATAATCAAAGACCATAAAATGTGAGATGTTCACTACCGATGAGTGGTTAAATATTTTTTGCAAAAATTGAAAACTAATTATAGTAGCTTCAAAAACAAATGTCAAATGTTCGAAATTAATTAATTAAAAATTAAATATTACCAAAATTTGAGTTTTTTTATTTTAATCTCATCAATCACTGGACCATGCGATGCGCACTATTTGCACAGGGCTTTTGAGTTATTTACTTAGGCCGAACAAGTAATAACAGGTCTATAACATATTCAAAAACTCTTGTTAGAGAATTTAGGTTTAAAACAATATTGAATAAACATTATTTAATTATGAAGGAGTTATAATGAGTTACTGTTTTTATTGTGTCCGTGTTATGAAGTTCTTATCAAATGGGAAAGTTTTTAATTATTAGCTTTACGAAAAAAAGTGCCTCTTCCTAAAAAGTCCTGCTTGGAAAAAAGATCAATGCGGGTATAAAAAATATCTCCCATATTTTAGCTTAGGAAAGAGATACCGAGATATAGTTTTCAGTGGTGTATTAGGCCCTCACTTGGCCATCTTCTGTTATAAGGAAGAGTGATATCGTTACAAATTTGTGTTTAAAGGAAACAACACGTATTTGCAATTATGTAGAAAAACGACCTCTAGTGGCCGCATTTACAATCGCCACATTTACAAAATCATTGAATTTTTTTTTAACCACACCAATTATTGACAAAATTGTTCGTATAACCGCCAACCACTTCCCGTAAAGAGATAAAGCAAAAAGTTTTTTACAAAAGCGACTCTACTTTGCCTCTGTCTTAAAATGGAAACTTTGAAATATTTTCGTCTTTTAAACCCGATACTTTTTGAAGAAAACATTCAAACTTACTTGGGCAAATTTATTTTCTCACCAAGAGGCCCTTTGTTTCGTTAATAATTAAAAATAGCTGATAATCCTTCATAATGGTTTTTGAAATTGAATACTATTTCTGTAAATCCCTGTCAGCCTAAAAATTTTTTTTTGCAGAATTTCACCTTAGCCCAAATATGATATAAGAAATATTGCCCAACGCTCAACAAAATTATATTTTATGCTTTAGTTTCTGTAATAATTCTATTCGATAATAACTAATTCAACCTCTTTTCGTATCCTTCCGGGACGCCTTTTTCAATGTTGGCAAACAGCCAAAACAAATCAGTGCCAAACAATGAAAGTGGTTCAAGTAATCGCTAGGTCACTCTGTACTCCCTGTGCATACCCAATGAGGTTTTCCTCTACACTTTTCGGAAATATACTTTCTTTTTCAATTCCAACCATCCAAACCAAATAATAAAACAGTAATAACCATTTCTGTTGAGTAACAAAAATTTGATAACAATTACCATTTCCAATTTTAAACAACTTAATTTATTTTTTTAAATCCTCAAGCTACTGTAATACCATTTACAAATCCTCTGGATTTTTGATGAGGCGAACTTGCAGACGTTTCGCCAATCATCCTTTTGCCTTCTTCAGAACTTCATCAACAACCGACGTAATTATATTTTGGTAACTATCCCCAACCGTTGAAAAGAGAATAATAAAGCAAGTAAATATATAATGTTTAAAATAATATAAATTACACTTTTTATTTTTAACAAAGAAGCACACCGAATTCCAATATAAGGAAAGATATATAGGCAACGTAAACGAAACAAAACATGGAATGATTTTTATTTATCTAAATTACATTTTTAACATTTACAAAGATTCACATGTTATTATTTGAGATTACTTTAGGTATTATTAAGTCGCAATTAAGATTATTAGGTCTGATTTTCTGTTGGTAAGAATATCTAAGACTGAGATATTATTATCAGTTTCTAATTCAACTGTAAAACGTATGTTAGGGTAAATAGGGTTTAAGTGGCAGAAAATATCGGGATTCTTGACAATGAGGCCAAATAACAGATGTTTCATCAATATAGCGTTTCCGTAATTTTGGTTCTTCTTAAGGCTAGGACAAATAAACTCATCTGCAATTGCTGAACATAATTACGAAACCGGACAACGAAAAATTCCAGAATCTATAAAAATCTATAAGTAACGAAACAATCTTAACCCCAACTGAAGTCGTTACCTTTCACCAATATGGAAATCAGTAATCCGAGACAATATTCATGTCCCTCCTTTAGCTTCGCCTCCATCAAACCATATATAAGCACGTACAGACTAGAATGCGAGCCAAGTTCAGTTAATGTCTGAAAAAGACTACAGGATGATTGGCGAAACATCAGTTAAGTTTGTTTTATAAACAACCAAGACTGGAGGAATCCAAAAGATTTGGAAGACTTTCTATGAAAAATTAAGGCAAATATTTGTATTTAGCTTTAATCCTAAATTTAAAATGTGTTCAATGTATTAATTTTTTGAACTAAATATCTAATTCACTACTCATTGACATTTTTGTGCAGAATTTGTTGACAAAGCTTGCGGATTCCGTTTCTCGTAATTTCTTTTGTGAGGTGTTCAATAATGCTCTATTTGGTATTTTTTTGAATTTGAGACCTACAAATCAATTGTTTTGTGGGTATGGTAGTTACTAAGCCCTATATCAATTAAATAGTTATTTTATAAAAAAATAATAAAATATAATATTTTTAAAGGTTACAAAAAACTGTAAATTTTACATCTTATTTTTAAACTTTAAACGGTTGAAATGTTTATTTTTTGAGAAGTGGTTTTGAAGCGAATCCTTGGAGTACTTTGCCCATACATTACACGTGGTTAAATTTTGCCATTCATTATTCAAGGAAAGTTCCGGACAGGGTCGAATAAGCGTCGATATTCGGAACACATTTCGAACTCCAACATTCAAACTTTTTCAAAAATGTGAACGTCAAAGGGCTTTTTTCTACTTCCTTGTGTAAAATACCTAATTATACACGGATCTAGAGTACGGAAAACGCCACGTCTCACGGATCCGAGCTCTTTCGGACATTTCCGGGATATTACCGCACGGGTTTGGAAGCAATCGGATGTTTTCGGAGATTTTACCTCGCGGCTTGAATTTTGATTTTGTCAATTCTGATGGTCATGTCAGTGAATGTATTCGTGTTGTTTTGTAAAAATGTACCCAAAAACGGTAGTAGAAAAAGTATAGTTCGGTAAATTTTTTAAGTCATTCGTTTATTAAACACTCGCTCCGCTCTTGCCAAATCAACTCGTGACTCAAATGCCGTTTACCACACTTGCATACAGATTTAACGGTTCGGAAAAAAAACGGAAAATTTGGAAAAAAACGGAAAATTTGACTTTTTTTAAATTAAATGCCAGACAGCTAAACGAGTTAATATATTATGATATAAATGTATATTGGTTCGTATAAGTTGCTTCAATAAAAAAAAACAAAAATTAAGATGCCTACTTTATTTAAAAAAAATAAATAAATAAAATAAGAACTCTTTTTGGTTAACAAGACATAAACTCTTAAATACATAATAAACAAAATAAATGTATACAAAAAAAAGAATAACTGACAACGCAAGCAAAATGCAAGTAAAAAAACGTCATTTCTGCAAAGCCAGTACACTTAAAGGGGTTTCATTGTCAAGGTCCGAGTCTTCGGAGAAAGAATCTGATTCTGATTCCGCAGCATCGCCGTCCTGGATATTCCCAATTAATTCGATATCCATTTCAGCCCGCTGCAAAAGCGGAACTGGCCTAGAATCGTAGGCAAATTTGTCATTTTCTTCTAAATTTAAGGTAATGAATTAAACAAGTTGAAGCAACAAGTTTTTGTACCTTATCTTGTGTCAGTCTATTTCTTTTTTTAGTATGAATAACACCATGCCAAGACCAGTTTCTTTCTGACGAAGCGGACGATGGAGGTCCATTTAAAATTCTGGAAGCAATTGGCATAAGTGGCTGCTTAGATTATAAAATGCATGCGTTGCTGTGAAAAAGCAATATCGAATGGCTTGCCTGCAGGGGTGGGGTGCAAGTGCTGTTGCCGTTTATTTTTTACTTATGTTTCGCGGAAATGTGTAGGGGATTCACCGGTAAGCAAGTTGTCAGTGTTGTTACACTGCACTTATTTTTTAAAATATGTTTGAAAATAATTGTATTGAATAATATTTAACACGTAACCCTCCCTGGATATTAAAATGCTTTTGGATTCAAAAATTCAATTTTTCCCAAATTTTCCGTTGTTTTCCAATTTTTCCGGGAAAAAACCCGGTTTTTTTCCGACAACCAATTTTTCCGGAAATTTAGAATCACTACACTTGCATAATATACCATTGAAAACAGGAAGAGCTTCTTTCATTCCCTATCCCATCTTGAAAATGCTGCAGATAAACATACCAGGTCATATTCTGCTTATGAAACAAAAATTTTAAATTTCATATCTTTATGACATCAATTAAAAAAAAAAATAGTGAAAACAATTTTATGGAAACACAAATTTAATTTTAAACCAAAATAATATACCAAAACTATTCATAAAAAAAGATTTCTATTCGGCAAGAAATGTTCAAAATGACTTCTCTTCATTGTCATAGATTTATAGACACGTTTTTTGAAAGACTGCCTGATTTTAAATAATAATTCTTCGTTTCTAAATGACTCAGCGGCATTTTCAACCCTGTACCATAACTCATCGCTAGTGCTAACTACTTTTTCATACACCCCCAAACACAAAAATCAATAGGATTGAAATCTGGACTTCTAGGTAACCAATCCACGACCAACGATATGGAAATTTTTAGGTAGTGTCCAATAAAAAGTGCGCCGGAGCGCCATCTTGCATGAAGATCATTGTTCTTCTTAACTTTGATCATGCAGACAATCGGCCAAATGAGTTTGCAAAAAATTGAGGTACGGCTCGTCGTTTAAATTAGTTGCTAGTAAGGGCGAAGTTTGAAAGGTATATCTTTTTTGTGTAAAAAAGGTCGAAGACGTGATATCTCTATTAAAAATCTGCATACACTAACGCGCAAAAATTATTCACGAAAATCGATTTCTCATGTCAAAAAACCATAATATACCATTGAAAACAGGAAGAACTTCTTTTATTCCCTATCCCAACCTGAAAATGCTGCAGATAAACATACCAGGTCATATTCTGCTTATGAAAGGTATTAGGACCGGCAGATAATGGGACTAGTGAGTTTTAGGAAAACTTGAAGGTTTCAGCTTCTGATTGTTAAGTGATACCCTGAATCTGATGCAAATATAAAAAATATATCTACGTTAAGTTAGGGCTCGGTGCTGTAGGATAATTCCTCGTCCTTGTGTGTTATCTATAAATTGCAAAAACGAGCCAAAAGAACTGTTGCTAACGTAATTATTGACAGCCATGGTTTATAAGCCTACGCATTATGCCATTGCCATGTGTTTGGTTGGATCAACAGCTGCTTCATATTCATAAAAATTCCGATAATCATAATAATTATCATAGTAGATTTGGCCATAATTTATTAAAACGTTCTAATTTATTTATGGTGTCTATCGACAATAGTCTTCATTTTGACTTGTATAATCTTCTGAGTGTCAATATAAGATCCTTAGATGAGATATGTTTTTTTAAAAAAGATTAATATTACCTACTATTTCACTGTTTCTTTACGGTTGAATTTAAAGATAAACTAAATACTACCAGAGATCAATACTTAGTTAAGTTTAATACTTTAATGTTCACAGCCAAATTTGTTTTAATTATGATCGATTGTTTGTCGGCGCGATATTTTCGTTGTGAATTTTCGGCTTTCTAGAATTACTCTTTGCAAAACGTAGTCAATAAAAAATTGCTGAAAATACTAGAATAAAACACAATAAAATCGAAAATCTAAAAATGACTAAAATATGCAAGAATGTAAGAAACTACAAGGGTAATACGAAAACTAAATTCATTAGCTTATTTTTATTTATTAGACTAGATCGGATTCTGGCAAAAAATAAAACTGAAAATCTGAAAGCAATTCGGCGATCTCGTATAATTTTTTTTGACGAGACCCCGTATAAACGCGGACGACCTTACCGCCATGCAACGCGATAGCTTTTCATTTTTTTTCCGCCACCAAAAATGCAATTCTAATATAATGCAATGTCAGATCCGAATAGGGACCAGGAGGCTCGCAATAATGGCGTGTCTAACAGTCGGACTTTTGAGCTTCGCGGGGTTAATATTCGCCGTCACAGTGTCCACCCGCGCCAAGGAACTGAAGATGGTCCACATCGTGAGTACGAAATTTTGGTATTTTTAGCTATGTTCCGTGTGCTAAAACCCCACAAAACTATCCAGGATGTACCTTAACCAATGGTACATAGCAAAATAGGAGATTTTTTAAGTAAACTTATTAAACGAAACTTACTTTAGGTCAAAAATATATATTTGTCAAGATACAGGGTGTCTAAATTTTGATTTTTTTAGTAATTCCTGAAATAATCGAGCTTTTTGCACAAAATTTGTCAAATCGGAGATTTTTGACATTGAGAAATCTATTTTCGTGAATAATTTTGGGGAAAATTGTAAAATTGTAACTTTTTTGCGCCTTAACATATGCAGATTTTTCATAAAGATATCACTTCTTACTAATTTTTTACACAAAAAATTTTAAATTTCATATCTTCATGACATCAATTAAAAAAAATAAAATAGTGAAAACAATTTTATGGAAACACAAATTTAATTTTAAACCAAAATTATTCATAAAAAAAGATTTCTATTCGGCAAGAAATGTTCAAAATGACTTCTCTTCATTGTCATGGATTTATAGACACGTTTTTTGAAAGACTGCCTGATTTTAAATAATAATTCTTCGTTTCTAAATGACTCAGCGGCATTTTCAACCCTGTACCATAACTCATCGCTAGTGCTAACTTCTTTTTCATACACCCCCAAACACAAAAATCAATATGATTGAAATCTGGACTTCTAGGTAACTAATCCACGACCAATGATATGGAACTTTTTAGGTAGTGTCCAATAAAAAGTGCGCCGGAGCGCCATCTTGCATGAAGATCATTGTTCTTCTTAACTCTGATCATGCAGACAATCGGCCAAATGAGTTTGCAAAAAATTGAGGCACGGCTCGTCGTTTAAATTAGTTGGTAGTAGGGGCGAAATTTGAAAGGTATATCTTTTTTGTGTAAAAAAGGTGGAAGACGTGATATCTCTATTAAAAATCTGCATACACTAACGCGCAAAAATTATTCACGAAAATCGATTTCTCATGTCAAAAAACCCCGGTTTTCCAAATTTTGTGCAAAAAGCTCGATAATTTCACGAATTAATAAAAATCAAAAATTAAATTACAACTTTGACACCTTCCATTTCGATGAATATCAACTTCTAGACTAAGGTAAGTTTCGTTAAATGGTAATATTTTTACCTAAAGGATCTCGTATTTTGCCATCTACCATTACTTATGGGACAGCATATTTATGTTCGAACAAGCAGCATTCTAATGATATATGGAATTATTTTCAAGGTTTAATTATATATTTTATCATAATAATCGGAAAATGCTGTACTAAATATGTTTTGAAATGAAATATGAGTAGAATGCTGTCAACCAGAATTGTCACGCGTCATTTGAGTATTAATAATTAACTACCGTTAGCTTGATTACGAGTAACATACAATAAATGATACGTAGAAATTATTATTTTTAAATAGCATTGAGGTAAACTGATGCCTGAATCTTTCAGTGAATTGACTACAGCAACAACTACTGTGTTTAATATAATTAAGAAATATGGCAAAACTGCCAGTATTGATGGTCTCGGTAGAATCTCAGTATGTTCAAAACTGATTCTCATTTAGTTAGAATAGCCAAGTTGAGAATAAGAAATACACTATTTACTGATGAAAGACAATTCTATTTTTAATCGCAGTCTCAACAATGATGCAAACACACTAGTAATACTATTAAGACAATAGTTATCTACAACCAAACTTAAATATTAAATTTATTCTATTAATTTTTAATTCATGTGGAGAAACACCGCTAGGCCTCGTTGACTACCTCAGCTAACATGACTACAAGATTTTCTCTAAGACTAAATACGTTTTTTTTAATCCCAATAATAGATTTTATAATTTCTTGTTCATTGCAAGGATCCAAAAATATTGAATATTATAATAAATGTCATTAAATTGACAGTTATTACAGTCAGTTTGTAATAGATTATCTATTTGCCGAAACTGCTGTCATAGACCAACAAATAACTGTAAAAATCTGAACATGTTTTGTTCTAATTTAATTGTGTTACATGGATTTTCATCAAGTAAAAGCCAACTCAGTTAATTTGCTAATTAGATAATCAATTTTCCTATTGTTCACAATTATATTCTATATTCTATACTATCTAAGTTATTTTAATTTTTCATTTACATCATGGTTACATCATTTTTTTCTAAGGTATTGATTTTTGAAAGTGTCTTTTGTATTTTTATTGACTTTATCTTTTCTGCGATGTTAAATACTAGTTTGTTATGGGCAAACAAAATATTGTCTTCAATCACTATGGGGAACAACATTTGAAGCTTGCTTTTTCGACTATTACGTTGTCTATAATAGTTCAACAGTTGGGGGTTACTCGGGTTGTATGATCAGGTTCTATAATATTTTTCTTCGTATCACACAACTTTGACTATCTAATATATTTATATTGAAGTCACCTACTGTGAGGTGTTTTTTATAACCTGGTAAACATATTCTCTAAAATATCCATAAACTGGTTGTAGTTGTAAGATAGCGGCTTGTATACGGTGCTAATTGTTAAATTGCCCACATATCCAACTTACTATGTCCTCAGGTTTTTATTTACAAAGCGCTTTAAGTTGTATAACTTTTTTAATATTAAGTTCCTAATCCTTCTTGTTTTATCCTGCATAAATGTAAGGTACGATATCCTTCAATTTAATAATAGAGCCATGAAAATCATTATTTACTACTAAGCATTGACTTTTATTCGCCATTTTATTTTTTATGCTTCATAAAGGTAACCAAAACTATCCAATTTGGTTTCACATTGAGTTTTATTTATTAAGTATGGTTTTAGAGGTTTCATTTTTTCTGAGAAAAATGTCTCCACTTTTATACTACAGATATTTATATTCTTTTTCTTTGTTGATCATTCTTGTCGCAGTATACAGGTTCTGGTTTGCATTTGTTAAATCGTGTTCAACATAAATTTTATGTTTTATTTATTTATTTTCTTTCGTACTTTTTTGCAATTATTAGCCGTTTTATCTTGATCTCCTTGTCTTGCAAAACGCAAGATTTTTCGATTTGTTTTGACCGATTTTATACACTGTACACTTTCCAGCAAGTATTTCTAGGAACTTCTAAACGTTATCCATCACTTCCTCCGCATTTTCATTTTCTTTATATGGGATACCCTGAATCATCAAATGTTTATCCAAGTCATTTTGCTATTTTTTGGTTAGTTGTTTTTGTATTTATTTCGTAATCAGTGAGTTGTTTTTTTGTTCCATGGAATCTAACTTCGCCATAATATCATCATTTGCACTTTATTTGTTTTGGGATTTTTTCCATTAATGCTATTCACACAATATTGACAGATTGGCTGAATTTACTATGGTTAGTACTCACAAGGGATGCTATAATAGAACTGTTTCAACTGTTTCATGTAGTCTAGCTTCGGCATAATATCATCATTTGCACTTTTTTTTGGGATTTTTTCCATTAATGCTATTTACACAATCTTGACAGATTGGCTAGATTTACTAACCCTATGGTTAACCCATAAGGGATGTTTAATAGAACTGTTTCAACAGGATATGGGGTTGTATGTCGGCAAAAGGACTGGCAAATTTACACTTTATTCAAGGCAAAGTAAACGCACGGAAATATTAAGAAATTCTTGAACATTCGTTTTTACCAAATTCAGCAAATTTATGTCCGTATCCTTCAACACGACGGAGCCTCATGACATAAATTTACCAAAAAATGGATGGAAGGAAATGACATTTAACCCTTGTCACATCCCCCTAGCCGGCTGGATCTTAATCCAAAGACAAAATGTGAGATAGTTTTACCCCTGAATTTTATGAAGCCCTAATTTGTACAATGCTGTTAGTCGAGCCAATGGCGACATTGCGCCTTATTAATTTTTATTTTAATTCGTTAAAAACCACTTGTTCGAATATTTAGTTGTTGGCATTTTTCGATTATCAAACAATTAACTAAATTGTAAACAACATAAAATATATATAAATAAGCTGTAAAGTAATTTTAAAAAATATGTCTTTTTACATTAAAACCCTATTCATGGATAGGACTTTTAGCAAACTTTTATGTATGTAAATTATAAATTAAAATAATATCTATAAATAAGTACCAGCTTTTATCTCGGATAAGCATAATATCAAGTCCCCACATAAAATAACTTATTGGTTGGTTAATAAACTAAATTACATTTGTTATTAGGGCTAGGTGTATCGTTGTTACATTGAGTTGTAAAACTTATCGGGTAATAACATTCATAAAAGTTACTTCAGAAATAGGTACTTAAGTACCTATACTCACACAACATTGGTTTGATCTTATATTAATTATTATTATTTTTTAAAAACATTTCCCTTTCTCAGATAATGAGGCACGGAATAAGAACTCCGGCGGATACCTACCCCAACGATCCGCACATTAACGACACCTTGTACCCCATCGGTTGGGGTCAAATTACAAACGTGAGTGTTTTATTTCTATATAACATGTTTTAGTTTATTTTATTTGCAGGTGATATAAATAGTAGTAAAAAGAAAAACCCGAAATTTATACTTATCAATATATAAACCTATACTGGGAAGTCAATATAACTCATTACGTTATTTCTGTATCAAGTCCTACATTATCCAATTGAAAATTATCATAAAAGCTCAAGAAAACTCAAGAATGCTTCAATAAATTGTTAAAAGTTTAAGAAAGTTGAAGTGGTGGTCAATAGACGGACGTTTACAGCTCAAAAGCTTTAGATATTAATCATAAGCAATCAACAGCAATGTAGGTCCAACTGATTTAAAATATCAAATATTTTAAAAAGCTTTTACTAGTACTTAATATATGAAACCATAACTAAACTAAGTTTACATATTTTCGTCGTTCTTTATCCTGAAAATCTTTCATCAGACATAATGTAAAGAAAATTGTTAGAAAAAAACATTTCTCTTTCAAGAATTTATTACAAAGTTAACACGACACAACATTTCTTTATTTTTCTAAATAAATACAGTAATATAAAACAACAAATTTTCTAACCAGTGTTTAATAGTTCTTTCGTTAATAAGACATAATTATTTTTAGTCATATCAATTTTCATATTTTAATTTGTTAAAAAAAAAATAGATTTTCAATATTTTTTAAGATTTCTGGAACCTTATGGTATATCTTCATGGCTTGCAGAAAGAGGTTATTTTGCACAGGAATAAACTGATATAGATACAGCTTTTCTTAGATTTATTTTTCTTTAATATTTTGTTTTAATTCCAATCCAATATTAAGCCTACCAAGATTAAGTTCATCATACCATCTGTCCTTGTTTGTTAATCCAACATAAATAGTTTCAAATTTTCTGAAGCACATAACCAATGTTAAAATTCGTTTTACTACATGCTTCCCCCAAAGGCAATAAATATCTGAAATATGAGAGCAAAAAGAAACTACATCATTATATTACATTATATATATATATTGAATATACTCGGATCAGATTAATTTATTAACGAATTCGAGTTCCAGGTACTTTATATGCCCAATCTCTTAAAATTTTTAATAATAAATTTGAATATTTAAATTTTGGATTTGTTTATTTCATGTTTAAATGCCATAAATTTTGGGTTTATTACAGTATAGTCAAATTAAGTACGTAAGATATTGTTACTCGAAAGGCGAACCAAAATATATTTTGTTTTAGTCAAAATTATTTAATTTAATCCCGATTCTTAACTCTATAGTTAAGCTGATAATGTTCCAAAGCTCGTCAAAAATTCCACACGGGTTTATTTAAATTATGCAATTTTCTCTTCTGGCGGCTTTTTGATACAAAGGAATGCATTTCAACACGAGTCATGTGAAGTGACACGATACATAAACACTGTTGCAAGCGTAAATAATATTTTTCGCTAGATATCCGGACGACCTTGTCAGGGGCTTCAAGGCCGCCTTAAGGTCGTAATAGGGCGAGGCATCATGCCTATTCTATGAATACTCGAGATTCAAGACAAAGTCCTTCCTATCGCGAGGCTAAGTAATAAAGATGACCGACCAAACTCAACTTTAATAATTTTGGACGCTTTTACATTGTATCTCAATTATTTTTAAAGACTGTGCTACTTTTTTGTGAAATTAAGGATGACGTCAACAAAATTATCATGACCCTCTTGGTTTTTGAGATGCAGGGTGAAATCCAAAACTATTGAAGAGTTTAAAAAATGTTCATATAGGATTTTTCCGTAGAAGCCAGTGGCGTAGTTTGTTTTTTAATTACTCTAACCGTTTTATAGTTGTGAAGAAAACATTTTTTTTTTAAATAAAACACAATGTACATTATTTTTGACATTAATTGGAGAACATTTAAGCTTTTCAGAAATATATATTAGTATAAAGTAGCTTTGACAATTAAGATCAAAATGATTTTTTTTTAGTTTTTACTTTATTTGTAGCTGTAGACCATAGAAAATCAATTAAATCAACTAAAAATCTAAGCAGTTATACTATACAAGAGACACCTTACTTAATTTCGAAAAAACAAGATGGAAATATATTTTTTTAAATAATAATGTTTCATTATTATGATAAGTGTTATGTTTTTATAATGCAAAGTAGATAGTTAGCTATGACTCGTCTATTAAAAACAAAAAAGCAAATTTGTCAAAAACTCAGAAGTCTGTCAGTTTTTAATTATATTTTTATTACCTATCCATTTGTTATTTCTGTGTTTATTTCATTTTAATTAAATTTCTATAATAATGACAGTGTATGAAAAATCTGAAAAATATGATATGTTGGTATGTTTCATACAATGCATTGAAAATGCCCAAGAGGCTTCGGAATTATATTACCTCTGGTAAGGTGTCCAAAGGCAGATAGTCAGTATAATTTTTATATAATAAAAATGCGTTTTGTTTATATTAGATATCTAGGGAGACGACAATCCTTTCCAGATAGTTTTGCTTGTCTGAAAATAAATTTAGTTAGGCACGGATCTTTTATTCTACCTCGTCCTAAAGGAAGTCTTACAGCACATAGGTACCTAGACATTCTTGAGGAATTCATTCGAGAATTACTCCAAGATATTCCCAGCAAGATGGTGCCTGAAGTCATCACTCTGGACTTAAGACCATTTTAGATAAATGGATAGGTACCAACGAACCTGTAAGATGGCCTCCACGATCTCCGAATCCTTCAATTTTAGATTTCTTTTTATGGGGATATATGCAAAATAAAGTACATAAAACACTGCTGTAGCAGAAGTTCGAGGGGCAAATTCTACGAAGGAGAACAATAATTCTTTTAAATGCTTTTAAAAAAATGTGCGAGTTTTGCATTCGAGAAAATGTTCTCCAATTTGAACGACAGTTTTAGGTATAACATTATGATAATATTGTTTATATATAATGTTATTTCGTATTAATTAAAGTAAACATATTTAAATAATTGAGTTTTAAACTATTGAGTTTCTTGTATGTCAATAATTGTTTACTAGGATATAGTTTTTAATGGATTAATCATGGCCTACCGCTAGAAGTATAGGAAAATATTAAAAATAAATAAATTTTGAACTTAATTTTCAAAACAACTTTATATTAATATATGTTTTTCAAAAGCTTAAATGATTTTCAATTAATGTAAAAATAATATGCAGGCTGTTCCATTAAAAACATGGGCTCTATAGATAAAATGCTATAAGAATGTTTTTAAAATTCTTTATTCTCAATTTAGTTGAAGGCATCTTTAATTTCTATCTTAAAACATAACCGAAACACCCCATAAAAGCGCCAAAAATGGGATACCCAACACAAAACAAAATTTCTGAGAAAAAAAGCAAATAGTTTCAGCATCACAAGATGGGTCCTGCTAGTAAAGGTTCTAAATGAATTGGCCTGTGACGTCATCAAAGATTTAGTAACTTTAACTAAAAGAAGACTTTTGTCGGTGCTTCTTGGTTAAATAATTATTATGTTTATGTTTTTAGAACCTCACTTTGTTAAATATCAGTATTTATATGGGGTTTTTGTTTTTTTTTCATTTTTAAAGCTTACCACTTATGGTTAAAAAAAACGCACTAAACGAAGGTTCGAAATTGTATCTATTTATGGCCAAAATTCAGGAAGGAAAAGAGCAACTCTACGAGATCGGTCGGTACTACAGGAGGCGGTACGATGACTTTTTGGGCACTCATTATTATCCCGACGAATATTACACCCAGACGACCGATGTGGACCGCACCAAAACCAGTATGCAGATAGTTAACGCGGGTCTGTGGCCGCCCAAAGCTGACCAGCAGTGGGGCCCATTAGATTGGCAACCCATACCCACCCATTCGGAACCATTATCCTTGGACAGCGTAAGTTTCTTCCAAATTTTGTACCTTAGTTTTTGTGGGCAGTAAATAGTCAGCAACCGAAACAATACTATTCATTGCACACGATCGAACCATCGAAAAGTTTTGGCGATATTTAAATGAATTAGTCATCAGATCATTTTTTGAAAAAAGATCCTATAGCTTTAGATTCGGAAATCTTAAATTCATTCAAATATGCAAGGTGTCCCACAACATGACTGCCAGAGCTTGGGAGTGTCTTGCTGGAGGTAATTTCAAGTTAAAAATGTCTAATGAACATATACCCGGAACGCTATTCTAACTGCGCTACGAGCATTTCAAACTTTAAAGACCATTTATTTTTCATTTTATTGAATTAGTTGTTCAAAATGTCCACCCAGTTGCTGTATACATAGTCTAACTCTTCTCAGAATTGAAGTGGTAGTTCTGCTAACAGTCTCAGGATCAGCACGAAGAGTTTCTGCATCATCCATGTTTCTATCTACCTGTTGTCTCAGTTTTCAATACTTTCTTCATAAATTAAAGTTTTCAGTCTTCCCCATAAAAAGTAATCTAAAGAATTAAGGTGAAATGATCTTGCTGACCAAGGAACTGCTGAAAATTTTCCATTTCACCGGTTTGTATAATTTTGATTAAGAAATTGTGTTACTTGTCGACCAAAGTGGGAAGGTGCGCAATCGTGCTTCATCATCCAGTAATATAGGAAGATCGTTTTCAATGAAACGTCAATAACGAATGGCTGTGAGACGTTCTTCAATTATAAGCGGACTAATGAGCCGGTCATCAATAATGCCACACCAAATGTTCACCGAAAATCTATCTTGAAAATGGAATCCCTGAGTTTATTGTTGATTTTCAAGTGCCCAACAATAGGGCTTTCAATTCTCGGTTTTGTCATAATTGAATACAACATTCTTATTTTATATGGCAATCATAGTTGGGTATGGTCTTTTAGTCATATAGATTTGTTCGTGTCTGTGTTGAAAATGGAATGGAAATATAGGGCATTTTTTGTTTATGTATTAGTAGGCCATGCATATAGCTGTCAATGTCAGTTAAGGACATAACTTTTATTCTTTATTCAATTTTGTGTTCTGCCACACATAAGTTTAGTGGCCAAAGTTAAACTTTTAATAATAATAATAGTAATAATAGTAATAATAATAACAATAATAATAGTAATAATTGTTTATTGTCTAACAGACAGATTCCGTCTAATTACAAGACAATGTTTTCGACACACCAGTTTTGCATAAAACTAAACCAAAATTACTCTCAAACTCATTGCAATTCCCCGTCGCCTGAGAAAGTGAGCCCTCCTTCCAGCATTGGTAGAAGTAGTTGGTTGAAAGTAGCGAATATTATGTCGTGCATTGAAAGAAGGCACGCGAAAATTGAGTTGCTGCAGGGACTCTGGACAATCGATGACGCCAATGCGTAGTTTATATACAAATACTACCGAAACGCCCACCCTCCCAGACTCCAAGGACAAAAAGTTATATCGCTTGAGCAGTTCTTTACGGTCTCAGCCCTGGAGTGGAAACCGACCATCCAACTTGAATACTAGGTACTTTAGGAATTTTCGCTGGGGACCAAATTCTGGAAGCATAACCAAATTTAAACTTAATTAAGCAATCATATAACCTCTTGAGCCACTGAACTCTTGGGTGGTGAGGAAAATGAAACCGAGGTTCCTGATTGCTGACTCGGCTATGGTCTCAATGTGCATGCTAAAATTTAGATCCCTATCAACATGCACTCCGAGGTTCTCAACCATCCCACTGTCTAACAGAGAAGTACCACCATTACAGTACAAGCAGGAAATTGGATTTAGTTTTCTCGAAAAACTAATCTTATGACATTTTTGAATATTTAGCAGGTCATTTTCCACGCACCATGGTGACAGTGCAGTTACGTCATTCTGCAGAGCCTTGCAGTCCTCCAGTGTACTTATTACCGCTGGAGGCGAAATTTAAAAAACTTGAAGCCATTATGCTCAACGAATAGTGAACGCTATGCTAAGTATTACCTGAAAACCCCAATCAGGTAATCATCAAGATCAATTGAAGACATCTTACTGAACAAAATTCCGTGATCTATTCTGTCAAAGGCCTTGGAGAAATCCGCGTAGACTGTATGGATTTGGCAATAATTTAAAATCTGTGTTTCAGATGTCAGTTTCTTTTACATGGCGATATAGCCTTATAGACAGCTAAAACTTTTGTATATAAGTTTTTAACTACAATACAGGGCGTTCGCAATTTTCCATGCAATATTAATAAAATGTGCCCCAAATTGGCAGCTACCGACTTGGCAGAGAAGTAGAAGTCCGGACCTATATTTATACTATTTAAATTGGGAGCAATAAAATAACGCTAAGTATTTTTTAAATATTTTTTATTAATTATTTTGGTTTCCAGAAAAACATCTTTTCCTCCAAAACCATTCATCCCATCAGAAAAATTTTACAACAGTGATAAATGGGAGATCCGCCGCCATAACTTTTATTTCAAGTATTTATAAACCAGGTGTTTTTTTATTATGGACAAAAATCTAGAAGACCCTGAAAATTGTTCTTTTAGGGAGTAAATTATTAGCCGTAAATTAAAATTCATACAAAAAATAGCTAATCCGCTCAAACAATGTTATAGACCTCATCAAGGGCTACAATTTTTGTATTTACGATTTCCGTCTGTCACGTAGGCTGCTCGAGATATTTGAAAAAATCCAAATGAAAATCGCAATATCTCGCACTCAATCTAGACATGATGACGTCATTTATTATTACGGTGTACTGCATGGTTTCAGAAGAGACGTGGGAGATCTATGATCTATGATCTTGCATTATGTACAGGGCGTGTCGATTATTTGTAAAAAAAAAAAACAAAGTGACCCTGAAAATTGCCATTATCAAGGGTAAATTATTAGCTGTAAATGAAAAACTATAAAACATGAGATAATTTGGTTTAAACAGTGTCGAAAGAGAGTTTCAGGTTTCGTCTATCCTATAGGGTGCGCCAGATATTTGAAAAAGTATCATTTTAAATCGCTATTAGTGGTATAAATTTTAAAATTTACCAAGGTTTTGAAGTTCGGCATTACGTGGAAGACACTTTATGCATGCACAATCATCGATTTTGCGAAAATAGTTAGCAGGAACACGATAGAAAAAACAATGCGTCCCTCTAGGACAAGAAGCCCCGAAGCGACTTCTTTAAAATAAAACGCTGCTTCTCTCTACGCTCTACGAACTTGCCCCGCCCAGCTACGATTTTTTGAAAGCAAACTTGTTAATTCTATAGAGTCAGGCGAGTGTGCTGTTGGGATCTTCCGTGACCTTAATAGGCTAGTCCCTTTGCATACCTAATGTGGTTTTATCCATCTTTATGAAATAGACTATAACACCATAAATATTAACGTCGCAATTTGATTTTTAGTTACTTCTGGTCAGAAGACCGTGTCCCGTGTATCATCAGGAAAGGGACAAGGTGATCCGGACGCCAGAAATCCAACAGAAGTTCGATGAGTATCGACCTCTATTCGAAGATCTCACCAATTATACCGGAAAAGTTGTCGGAGATTTCGACGACGTACAGGACATCTTCAGCACGCTGCAAGCGGAGGTAAGACCACAAGTACTGATGGATATTGGGATGGGTTTACGAAAAATCAAAATCTTGCGTGGTCGATATTTCAGCAATTTTGCTGTATTTTTCAGGACTCTAATATAATTGATAGAATCTCGTAGATTAGTTATACAGTTGGACAAGTTCATTATTCTGACAACTGTCGAAGACATACGAATTGACTTCGAAATCACAAGCAAAGAGTATAAGATAGAGGGGAAGGCTCCTATGGCAATTTTAAAAAGCGTACACGAGTTTCAAGGCCACTAGTGATTGTGTCCAGTCATGAAAAGGGAAAACGCGCGGGACGTACGGTTCAATTCAATTTCAATTTTAAAAAGTAAAATCTGAAAAAAAATATTTATGTCAAAATAGTGGAAAATTGATAAACATCTGAAAATACATAGTAATAAAAAAAATATTAATGATAATCTTAACATAATGAAAATATTATTATAACAATAATTATATTGTAAAAATCAGCTAAAAGCACGCTTTTTTTGCAGAAAATCATTTGATATTCGATAAAATTTATTCTATTTTTAAACATAATATAAAACTTGATGTAAATCAAGTTCTCTCATAATAACAAAAGTTTTCTTAAAAGACACCTATTAGTTATAATAATAAATTTTTTGAAAAAACATATTCCTCGATTAATCACTACTGAAACAGCTAAAAATCTATCATTGCACTTATATGAAAAAAAATATTTTAATAAAAGAAATGTAGATACGAAAATATGCTTTCACGTATATAAGAGTTTAACAATTAAATAGTACATATAAAAAAAAATTTGCTTACGTGACTACAGCAGATATTTAACTAAAATATATTTCTTTATATATTACTCAATCTTTTCCTTCATTTCTTTTTTATTGGTCCTCATTTTGGCTTGATTATTTTAATGGTACTTCATCCTCTATTACTCCTCTTTGGTCGTCACTTTGCGAATTTAGAGAATTTCTTGTTGTTTTTTTTTATGTTACAGTATCAGTCTTTTTGAGATCACGTCTGATGAACCAACCAATCTCCAATCGTTTGCTTCATTGGTTTATTAATCCAAGTTATCATTACTACTAATGCACAATGGGCTATTTCATTGGTACGCTCTTCTCCATCATCAACATAACCGTGAAATATGTCTTTGGCCGCATTATACTGAACTTCAGTAGCTAAACTTTTTTCGTCGAATGAAATGCTAACAAGACGATCCTTAGGAGTGCTTTTTATAAACGTATCTTTCAGGTGATTTAATACAGTCCAATTTAATCCTGGAGTAGTAGGAAAATCTTTCTGGTATTCATTCAAAGTCCTTATAGCTGGTATATGTAGAAATTTCGCCAGCAATTTATAAGTTTTGGGGGAATGATATTTTATTGACAATGCAATATCTTTTACCTCATTATTGTAGCTTTTAGCATATTTGTTCTTCACAGATAAGTGTAATTGGGTTGCAAATAATATTAAAGCCTTTTTACCCAAATAATTTGACGATGATTGTATTATTGATTCAACGTTTTGCTTCATTTTTTATTTTACAACAAATTTCTTCTCCATCCTCTTAATTCAACTTCGCAATTGACCTATCGTTCTAACTCCTTTGTGCAGAAATAAATAAATAAATAAAGTGCTGTTATCCGTTAGAAATTACTGTAGTATTTTCAGTGTCAGGCATTGATATTAGATGGCATTCGTAACAGTAAACACGACCTTCCCCTCTATCTTATACTCTTGGATCACAAGCATGAATGATGTACAAATATTTACCCCTAGGTGGCACTTAGTAGATCGGATATCTTATCGTTTGCGGTTCATACTCTGCGTTGGTGGCGTGACTACAAATCTATTGCTGTCTTTCTTCAATATCCCTGTTCCAGTAGCAAGTTTAAGTACAAGCTTTGTAAAAGTAAATCTGCCGATAAATATTATTATTATTAACCATTTTTTACTTCCATTCAGTTAGAACTGTCAGAATGGGTGACATGTGATCTAATTAATTACTGTGGGCATCGTTTTTTGTTAGCTGTATTTAACACTTGTTAGTTTTAATTGTTGTTTGTCGCTTGTATTTTTTTTTCATTATTTCTCTAATGTTAACCCAGATCACAAACGAGCAGCAATTTTTTTTTAAGTAAACAGGGTGTACAAATAACCGGGTTAAAGTAATATATCTGATTTATTATTTGTTTTAGAAAAAATGTATAATACAAAAGTTATAGAGAAGACAAGAAAGAAACAACACAAGAAAGAAACAAAACTTATATATGTTCTAATGGAACACGCTGTGGCATTATTAGATACTCCCTCTTGTACTCAATCACCCAATGTAGGGTTGTTATGGTCTATACCGAGTGTTTTCGGAATCGTTTATACAAGGCGAGTCTAAATGAAAAACATATTTTTTAAATAAATGGAAAACCCTGTACATTATACTTCCATTAATTACTTCTTCTAATGCTCCTTGAATTTTATTGAGGATTCCCTATATCTAAACTTAGTATTTGTCAAATTATAACAAAATATCGCAATAAGCCAAGAAAAATGAAAAATAAAAATAAGTAAATTTTAAATTTTTAGAATAGAAAGGTCCAAAATATTATTGAACTATAAAATAATGTTTCCAGATCGCGTCTTTTAGGGCAAATTTAAATTGGTCATACAAGTCTAACTTTAAAACTTTTTAAAAACTATCAATTTTGTATTAGTTTTCTCAATTAATTTGTTGTTTTAGTATTGGAATCTAGCGAGAAAAAAATTTACAAGTAACAGTATTCCGATAGAAGGTTGTACTCTAAAAGAACTCCTAAGAAATTGATGAATTGTTTTACTCGAACTGGAAGTGTTGCTCACGAAAGGAACGAAAAAGCCAAGACTGCAGTGAACGAGGAAAATAAAAGCATTACTCAGTGTCACAGAAAACTGACAAATGTAACAAGACTTAATAAATTCTAAGGGTTTTGTGAATAATATTTTTCCAAAAAATAACTTCATTTTGTAAATACGCATAAGAGTTTTTGAGCAAAATATTTTTTTCGGATATGTGTTACTTACGGAAGAAACCGAAACCGAAACAAACTTCACGATTATGCTAACAATATACCCCGTTTTATGAAGACACACAGTCAGGAAAAATGTTCTCTTAGAGTTTGGGGTGGTATAATGGAAAATAACATTATGGCGCCTCATTTTTTGGAAAATACAGTGAATGGGCAAGTATACTTAGATCTTTTAGATCAGATGCCGCAAAATATGTTAAGAACTATTCCAAACGAAGTGATGCAGAGAATGTGGTTACGAACTACTTAAATACTTTATTTCCCCAACGGTGGATTAGATGCCCACATAGATCTCTTGATCTATCAAAAATGGAGTATTTCCTGAAATTTGTTATAAACCAGGTGTATAAAACTGTCCACAACAAAAGAGGACGTGAAACAGAGAATAAGGATAAAATTCCTTTTTTTTGGCAGGTTTGTTCTTAATTTTTAAGTGTCTTTTCTGGAACTATTGCCAATATTAATATTACATTTTCAATATTATCACTAGGGTAAAATTACTGTTTAAGGAATACCACTATCTGTAATAATTATACTTAATTCGTCTCCGTTCAGGTAATATGTATTTTGTTCTCAATATTTTGTAACATTTAAGTATAATATATAGGGTGGACCATTTTATTTTCGCGAAAGTTACTCTTTTGTACTTTGACTCACCCTGTATAAACGATTCTAACTAACTTCAATACAAGTATAGGCTAAATGACTGTAACGCCTTATAAAATTGTGTGCATAATAAAATTACAGCTGTTAAATACGACGTCAAAAATATTATTAATATTATATTATTATATTATTTTTTTATATATATTATATTATTTTTGACTAAAAATATGGCCCTAAGTTCGAATATACTTAGTATAGACCATAACAACCTTACAATGGGTGATAGAGTATAAAATGGAGTATCTATTAATGTCATGACATATAAAATATAACATATTTATGAATCATCCTGAATATTTGAAAAAAATCTTAAATTGGTTGTTTTAATCCCAGCTATAATTTACCTATTTAACCAGCAAGATAAATTCGTCGTAACGTCGACCACATAAAAATTTGATTTTTGAAAAACCCAGTACAAAACAAATCAATTAATTACTTCATACTAGGAAAACTATTTCCTCTCTAGGAAAGCTTTAACTTGACCTTACCGGACTGGACCGAGGAGTACTACCCGAAAAAGATGTTCGAGCCTACCATATTCAGTTACATCCTAAACGCGTACAACGACAAAATGAACAGACTCAAGGGAGGTCGGTTTAAATCGATTTAGGGATCCAAACTGCCATATACGACTATTTTTAGGAGTACTGCTGAAACGGATACTTCAGCATTGGGAGGCCAAAGCGGCGGGCAACGAAAAACTCAAAGCTGTTTTATACGGAGGTCACGATTCGACCATAGTCAACCTGATGAGGACGCTGAAAGTGTGGGATCCCCAGTTCCCGAACTATTCCATCACCATACTCTTAGAACTATCCGTCGACGAAACCGGGACATACCATGTAGAGGTTAGGTTGTAAACTAACTCTTGTTTAGCCTTGGTTTAGAGTCCTTTAAGTTATTTTTTGATAGTTCTCCAAAAATAAGAAAAAGACAGGGTGTTATGGAATTCATTCGAGACCATTTAGTGAGTGAATTTGAACTCATGCTGAACTCCCTTACGTATCTTATTTTTTGATAATTCTCGAAAAATACGGGGTGCTATGGACGATATCCATAGCACTTTTAGTAAGTGAATCTGGACCCCACGTTTGACTTTTTTATGTTAATAATTTCCTGATAATGTTATGGAATTTATCGGAGAGATTTTATTAAGTCAATCTAGACCTCATGCTTAACTCCCTCATGTGAATTATTTTCTGGTGAATCTCTAAAAACAAGAAAAATACAGGGTGTTGTGGAATTTATCGGAGAGATTTTAGTGAGTGAATCTGGACCTCACGCTTGATTTTAGTAGTAGTCAATCTAGACCTCACGCTTGACTCTCTTACATGAAGTATTTTCTAATTAATCTCCAAAAACAAAAAAAATACAGGGTGTCATGGAATTCACTCGAAACCATTTAGTGAGTCTGGACCTCATGCTTAACTCCCTTCTGTGACTTATTTTTAATAATACTCGAAAAATAAGAAAATACGGGGTGTTATGAAATGTATCCGAGAACGTTTAAAAAGTGAATCCGGACCTCACGTTTGACTTTTTTATGTGAATTACTTCCTGATTAATCTCTAGAAACAAGAAAAATACAGGGTGTTATGATGTTCACTCCCGACCATTTAGTAAGTGAGTCTAAATTTTATGCTTGACTCCCTTAGGTGACTTATTTTTTGAAAATTCTCGAAAAATAAGAAAAATACAGGGTGAGTCAATCTAGACCTCACGTTTGATTTTCATGGGAGTTTTTTTCGGGTGAATCTCTAAAAATGAGAAAAATACAGGGTGTGATGGAATTCACTCGAAACCAGTAAGTGAGTCTAAACCTTATGCTTGACTCCCTTACATGACTTACTTTTTGATAATTCTGGAAAAATAAGAAAAATACAGGGTGTTATGGAATTCACTGGAGACTATTTATTAAGTGAGTCCGGACCTCACGCTTGACTCCCTTACTTGATTTATGTTTTTATTAATCTAGAAATATAAGCAAAAAATACAGGGTGTTATTGAATTTACTCAAGATTATCTGGTAAGCGAGTCTAAACTGATTTTGTAGGTGTATAGAAATAGACGTCCGTTTTTAGACACTGACCAGTTAAAAAGAATATATCTGAATATCAACCCTCGTGACATAAACTTTAATAATAAAATTTTCTTTTCTAACCAGAGATAAAAAGTAGCTACTTAGTTTGGTTAGTTTTTCATACCGTACGAACAAAATTTTTAACGGCGGACGTGTTAGGTGTTCCTTCGCAACTCCACGGTCGCCGAGCCTTACAAACTGACCGTGCCAGGCTGTGACGTCTCCTGCCCCCTGACGGAGCTAAAAAAACTAACGGAGGCGGTCGTCCCCGAGAACTGGGACGAAGAATGCAAAGGAGACGACGAGAATTACACGGTACCGCCCCCGGGAGGACCTTGACCGTGATTTTAACCACGAAACGAAAGAAGAAACGAGAACATAACCTACATGGCCGAATGATCTTGGCAGTCCCGAGCGATTCCATTTAATAAAAAAAATTATACGTAGAAAGTATTAAAAAATGTTTGTTTAAGAATTGATTATTTATTAATTTACAGTAGAACAGCGGCAAAATACAAAACATTAAAACTGAAATTCCAATAAATTATCTTAAAGTAAAATATATTTACACTTAAAAATACAAAGTTATGCAGGTATAAAATTTCCGGTTCAGTGCACCAAAATTCCCGAAATATTCCCGGATTTCATCCTACTAGCGATTAAGGAAATGGAGCTGACGTGGGTCGGTGACGTGCGGTGGAATGGGGAAGCGCCTTCGTTACCCTCAAACCGGACTAAAGCAAAATTTGATTTAAATATAATAAATAATAAAAAGCGCAATTAGCAACTGTTTAACGCGGTTTTATCATACTACGAGATGAGTCTGTGATTCGCTTTAATATATCGCGTCTCACTGCCGAACAGCGATACGAACATCTCCGAAGATAGCCGAGTCGATATTGGCGGACGCGGAGCTCATTTAATTTAAAAAAAAAACACTTAGTCTCAGTTGAGCTCTGAACAACCCAACAGGATGATTGGCGAAACGTCAGTAAGTTCGAAATATCATAATTTAATTCAGTCTTTTTTATAAAACTTATATAAGTGGCTGAACTAGTCGTAATCTTATTATAATGAACCAATTTTTAAAAAAATAATCCGAATAAAAGTTGATTTTTTTTTTTGAGACGAAAGAACGATTGGCCATTTTTTGTGTGCAGCGTTTAGAAACCAAACAAGGTGAGCGCAAAAAAGCAATTTTGTTAATAATTAAGAATAATAAATAATAGTAATACTATTAAAATAATTGATTAATAACTTTAGCTAAAATACAATGATTCATTTCAACTTTCAATAAATTTTAAAATTTCATTATTTGGTTCAAAAACTTACTTAACTTACTACTGAAAGGTCTTCGAGACAATAAAAAAGTAGAGAGTGCGGCAATTAAAAAAGAAGCAGGTAAAATGCTAACAACGGAAGCAAGATATAATGGAGCGCTGGAGAGGATATTTTGAAAAACTGCTCAATTCCGAAAATAAAACAAATGGCAAAAAGACAGAATACGAAGGTAAGCAAATGGTAGAGCAAGAAGAGACAGAACCAAATGAACAACTTATAACGAGAGAATTATTCATTACCACAATAAAACAGCTAAAAAACGGCAAGCCACATGGTGAGGATAAGATTACATCTGCGATGGTAAAAAACATGGGAGAAAAAGCGACCACACTATTGTTAGAAATATGGCATGGGTAGAAGAAAAAATACCGGAAGATTGGAAAACAGGTTAAATATTACCACTGCACAAAAAAGGAGATAACAAGAACTGCAACAATTATAGAGGAATCTATGCTATCTACATCATTGAAACTGTCTGAGAAATTAGTTGAAAAGAAACTACGATCAAAAGTAGAACCAACCCTAACAGAAATGCAAAGTGGGCTCCGGAAAGGTAGAAGTACCCAAGATCACGTGTTCACTTTAAAAGAAGTAATTTCGAGAAAATTGGCAAGATCTAAAGCAGTATACGTAGCATTCTTAGATATGGAAAAAGCGTTTGATAAAATACCGCGAATAAAAATCTGGAAAAGCCTACAAGCCAGAAACGTTGACAACAAACTATTAAGAGAAGTAATTTCGAGAAAATTGGCAAGATATAAAGCCGTATACGTGGCATTCTTAGATATGGAAAAAGCGTTTGATAAAGTACTGCGAATAAAAATCTGGAAAAGCTTACAAGCCAGAAACGTTGATAATAAACTATTAAGAGTTATCAAATGTTTATACAACGAAACAAGAAAGTGCGTAATAAGTAAGAACATGAGATCAAATGCATTAATAACACAAGGAGCGAGACAGGGGGGTAGTTTGAGCCCTTTATTATTCATAACTTTTATGGAAGATCTAAGTAGAATAGCAGAACAGCGATCAAAAAACCTTTACGTTGGATACCGACAACTAGAGCGTATCAACACATCGAAATGTGCCTTCGCCGATGATATAACGATCATAGCAGAAACCTCGAAGGATCTAGACGAAAATCTAAATAATTGGGATCAGATACTAACAAAAAACGGAATGAAAATGAACATAAATAAAACCAAAATTATGGCAGTGTCAAACGAAAATGAGAAATTAGAGGTGAGAATACGTGGGACACTAATAGAACAAGTTAATAGTTTCCAGTACTTGGGAATTATGTTCGAACAAACAGGAGAACAGGACACAGAATTAAATAATGGAATAGAAAAGGAAAATAAGGTATACTATGCATTGAGTAAGGGACTCATAAATAAAAAGGAAATTTCTAAGGAAACTGAAATGAAAGTTTACAAAACAATTTACAGACCAATCCTTACATATGGTTCCGAATCTTGGATATTGTCAGATAGGGACAAGAGCAAAATTGGAGCAGCAGAGATGAAATATTTGAGGAGAGTGAAAGGAATAACCAGAAGGGACAAAATTAGAAATGCACTTATAAGAGAAGAGTTAAAGGTGGAATCCACAGAAGAATTCATGGAAAAGAAACAACTTGACTGGTGGGGCCGTTTACAGAGATTGGGCAGCACTCTACCGGTTAAAAGAGAGAAAACGGAAAAGAAGAAGACCAAGAGAAACGTGGGAAGATTTTGACAAAGAGGGGACGAACATGGGTTGAAGCTAAAAACTTGGCACTAAATAGAAAAGACTAGAAATTTTTGATCGATAGCTAAATTGCATACAGAAATGTCACCCTTACACCCTACGGGTAGAAAGGGACTAGGTTACATACATATCAAAAGTTATTTTATTCTAACTGAAGCAACTATTTTTGACCATAATATTTTTATAAGCTTCTGACGAAACCGGCATTTTTCAACACTATAGTGACCTAAAAATTGTTAAAACTTATTTAATTACTTGTTTTGGTAAAATTAACGCGTCTGTACGAAAAATAAAATTATTGGTCACAATGTTGAACGTTAAAGCGTAACAGTAAGATTGTTTAACCCAAACAATTACGGGATTTTGTCTATTTTTAGAAAAAAACAATAAAAAAATGTTTCAAAACAACATCCATACAGGGTAAAAATTCGTGCCTTAAAAAATAGAAACGAAAAACGACCACATTCTACTTGCGACGCTTTAATAGCACCGATGAAAAGTCAAAAAGGTTATAATTTTTTGACTGCACCTCGTATACAAAGTACAAGGATCTCGATAGCGACAGCCGGTTATTGAATATCTAATGTAATTTCTTAATAGAAAATCATCTGCACTTTATTTCACATTGCTTAACATAAAAAAAAATAACTTGTACCAAAACACACCAAAATTTCTGACTGACGTCCAAAATTCTTCCCAGTTTTGACTGGTTCATGAATACTATCCCTTTTGGTTCATTTAGTTATTGAAAACGTTTGGTAATAACAGGTTTTATTATTACTATTATTCAAATTATGTCCTCAACGATACCTTAATTTTGTCAATTTATTTTTGAAGGCCATCAAAATAGGATTTTAAAAATATTTCGCGGCAGTAGCGTCAGCGTTTCAGGTAACAAAAGTTCCGACATAGATGGATTTTGGAACTTGGTGTACGCTAGTGGAAATAAAGTGCAAAATATCGCTCCTATAACATTTCGAATCACAAGAATACTGATTCCTACGAAAAAATTATACGAATCATTCTTGTGGGTAATTCTATGATGATGATAAAAAAATAGACGAGTTTGAACTAATATAAAAACTCAAATATGGACAGTCGACGGTGTCTAATTATGACATATACCATAAAGTACAAACAGGCGAAATTTCTGCCAACAGGTTTTAAAGTCACTGGATTATGGCCTGACGTGGACTTTATTGATGCGCTATAAGAGATGGTTGTATAACCAATATCACTGCACTGGAATCCAGATCTGAAACTGGTCAAGTTCTGATAGAAATACCGGTACCAGAAAAAACTGCTGGTTAATCGCCACAGTTTGGTTCTCCGCATGCCATACGTTCAGCGCCAGAGAATCGAAGAGTATCTAACAGAGGAAGAAAAGCTGGTGTAGCAACAGTCATAACATCTTCACCATACAAAAATGATTTAGCGAATAAAAATATGAAGAGACAAGAAAAAGAATGTAAGAAACAAACTGCGAAGAGAAACAAAGAAACGAAGAAAAATAAGAAAGATTGTGAAGAAGAAGACTCTGAGGAACAGGAAGTTATGAAGACATGATGAGTTGATGAACCAAATATCTCCTGACTCTGCTGACGCCCATTGTACGTTCGGTTCAAGCCTTGTTTCAATGGATAAAAATGAGCACATTATGATTGTGCTGATCCAGAGTTTGATACTTGTATCTGTGACTTTTGCAAGTGAATTAAGCAACTTCTTTCATTTATCACAATAGGTTATTTTCATTTATTTAATGTCGTAGATATTCATGTCCATTTTTGTTATTGATGTTTCTATTTTGTTGTTTGGTTAGTTGTGTTAGATTTTAATTTGACAACTAATATATTGGAATAATTACTACACATAAATGTATGACATTAATAATAACATTAAACTGTTTTTATTTCCATGATTTTTTTATATTCCTTTTTTCGTTCCTATTCTCTACGTTACAAGACCATAATGTTATCACCTGCTTATAAAAATTTCCGTATACTTCGAGAATAGTAGCCTGCCAAATTTTCTTTGCAAAAAAAATTTGGAATTTTATTTCTATATGTCTAATTTCACCGAATCAGTTCAGCCTATTTAAACACGTTAATGTTAATTATGTTTTATGTATACAATTTTCATATTGCGACAAAAATACATGGTCGAATAGAAAAAACACGTTTGAATGATGAAATAAAAAAAAAAGAAGAGAAATTGGGCGGAACTGGAATCGCAGAACGGCCGCTTGGTAAGTTATACCGCTTACCGGGACATTTGAACTACCGTTAACAGTCGGCGGGCGCTTCCGCGGGCAGCGACGGAGCGAACAACACGCGCGACCTCGTCTTGACGAAGTACACGAGGACGAACGATAATATCAAGGTCATCGATCCGACCGCTATCGTCATGTTTTCGTGCGCGGAAGACGGTTTCAGGAACATGCGCACGCTCATCTCCTGCCACGTGGACTCCGACCACGAGCTGTATTTGTTCGACGACCAGTCGTAGTCTGAAAGGAGAGTGACGAGTCAATATTTTATGAGAGTTATGCTATAATGTGCATTTGTCCAAATCACCCGAGGCACCGGCGACGAACACCCGAAAGCGGCCGAAACATTTATCCAAATATAGAGAGGTTAAAATACAAGTGTAAACACGGCTCAGATAGCAAATTAACTTATAACATGCGGTTAAATTATTTTACTTTGGTTAATAATCTATACAGTGTTGTTACAAATAAAATAAAATTAACAGATTACAAAATAAAGTAGAGGTTATTGGACATGATACAAAGAACAACAATTTACGCTATTGTTTAAGCTAAAAAAATACAACTTCTATTAAATATACTACAATGAAGGTAATTTTTTTTTACAATTTGACCTTTTAAAATAGGTATTTTTAAATAATGGGCGCTGTTCTTTTCTAAAATTTTAATGCAATTGCAATTTTTTCATACTTGTTATCCTGATAACTACTTAGGTAACTTTTACTTTTTGATTCTGGGGTATGCTAGGTAGCTAGTTAATTTTTTTCATAATACAAAGTGTTTTAATTGACAACCATATCCTCAAAATAGACGCAGCTGAAGTATTGGATAAAGATATTGATAAATCATATTGCTTATTGAATAAACTTAAAATCATCAATAAATTCAGCTATGAGAACAATTGCTCACACGTTTTTATTAACCTTTCATGATTCGTGATAATAGCCGTATGCAATTTTCCGAGTAAAAGGTATCTAAATACAATTTTACTAAAATAATTGAGAACCTTTAAACAAACACATTTATTTAAGTTTGGCTCTTTGATTAATTAAAATGCATTGAACTGAGGAGGCTTTTACTTGATGAACATTCATTTATCACAATAAATAAGAACAAAAAGTTCAGATTTTTTATCAAATGTTTTGATAAAGATGAAGTTGTCGAAACAATTGTCATGTCAAAATATATAATTTCGTGAAAATCTGAACTTTTAGTTCTTATTTATTTTAATTAAAATGCAACTGAATCTTTTAAGTTCAGTCACTGTAAATATTATCAGATGTATTTTAAAAACATTGTAATGTAAACAAATCATAATTATTCTCTATCGAGGAAAATTCTTCTCCGCGGAAACGCTTTGCAGGCCTCCCTCCCGCGCTGCCCCGAGCGATGCCCGAACGCCCAGATACGATTTGGACAAATGAACACTTGGACAAATACGGCCATCTCGTTATCGCCGTTTACGGAAAGTCATATCGCTCGGTTGTTCTCGACTAACAAAAGGTCACAAAATAATACAAAATCACAAGTGATCGATTTTAACAGCGAGAAATGGCAATATAAACAAACAAAAACAGTAACACCTAACAAAAATGTATGGACGATGTAAATAAATAAACCAAAAATAATATATACAGGGTGGTTTGTAATGAATGTCAATCATTACGAGAGCGATACATTTTTTTTAATATCTTTAATACCACTTTAGATATGAGTAAGATCACGTCAAGTGGACCCCCTATTTACCACTTTATCATAAAAATTTAATCTATATATATTTTTTACAAATACTTATGATGGAAAATTGATCCCCCAAACGAATTTTTATAATTTTGATTTTAACGTTTTTTTCATAATGAAAATTTTAAGCACTTTTAATTAAAAAATGGATTAAAACACCCTATATGCAAAACTTTTAAAGATTTTCACAACTATCTCACCAGGTATAACAATAATCTCGTGATGGACCTCGGTCGAATTGAGAGATCCAGAAATGGAATTTTACAACCGCATTTCAGCTAATATTCAATTCAATTCAGTACAAAACATTAAATAATTCGAAATCTAACTCAAAATGAGAGATTAAGTTATCTTCAAAATTTTCTTTCTATTTGAAATGCAAAAATGCGCTATGTTTTTCTCTATATCTATTTGCTATGCTATTGCTATCTCTATATCTATTTCCTGCGCTAAACTGAAAGTACTTATACAGAGTGTCCCGAAATTAGACGTCAATATTTTAACCTCGTATTCTGCGACCCAAAATAAGGATAAAAGTTCATATAAACTAGGGTCCAAACATTTTTCCCACGCCTCCCCTGTGTTACCGACCCCTGAAGACAATCCAATACTAAGTTTTAGTTCGTTAAATAAAGCTTAAAAAATTTTGTAACTGTACCAAATTTTATTTAAAAATATTTACGTGTTTCGAAAATATTTACAAAGAATCGCCATCACTTCTTCAAATTTAACACCCTGTATTTTAAAAACTAAGACGAATTGCACCCTAGTTTATATGAACTTTTATAAAGACTGGGAATAGACTCAAATTGGTTGGATATGCGGACGTTGTATACTGGCCGGCTTTAAAATGGAAAGGGTAGTACAGCTTACAAAAATTGATTAATGTCTGCCTGAGGTACACTTACTTGCATAAAAAACTGATACGGCTTGAAAATACCACTTTATGACTTGAGCACTATACCAGGTGCTGTCATATCACATTTTGACAAAACAAAGTTGGTTTTAACTTCCAATGTAGAATCTAAAAGCATGATTATGAAAATCATTTTGAATAATAAAAATTAATACTCATATTTTTAAGAGTTGAATATTTTTGCCTTGTAGATATCGAATGGTTCATTTTAGCTCTTTCGTCAATAGCAGATGCAGCTATGGTTTGTGTAAATTTGATGTTATAACATCGGCACTCAAGGGTTCTCAGTGGTTAAATCTATCTGAAAGGTTATTTTGTACTTCTCTATGATAGCCTGTAGCCTTGTCAGGGGTAGTGATATACATAACGCCGTAGTCAGTTCTATGTTCTCAAGCACAACTGTGTTTCAGAGCTCTTTCACATATAACGCTATTAAAACTCACTTCCACTGGATGTTATTGCTTATTCATCAACTTCTACTATAAAAAATAAATTAAGAGTTCGCGGGATTAAGGAGAGGCTGGACCGCTAAATTTCTTTAAATTCTATTATTGTTTTTCTTTTAATTGTTTCTGAATATTATCCTTGCTTTTCCCAGTTTCTATTATTTTTACCTTTTTCTTCTTTTTTTAGGAATATAAGATTTTTATTCAATAAGAACTACAAAGTGAAGGTAAGCGAAATCATTTCAAGCAAGAACTCCTAATGACGATGTTTTTGTTAACACACTTTACAAACTATGGTACTATTCCCATAATGAACCTTCGTCTGGATTTAAAGTAGTAAAGGCATGATCAACACAATTCAATAATCGATTTTTATTTCCTACAGACCCAGAAAGAATACATCAGTTCTTACATACAACCGCGGAGCGGAAAATCCAACGGCTACAAGACAGTTCCTCAACTCTTTTCAAGTAAATAAATCCCAAGAACATGCCAAACTTTTGGGTATCATTGACTTATCCTAGAAAACACTAAAACGGATACCGTGAAAGCCATGATCAATTGAATTAGATCACACCATACTATAATACACGTGTTGTCGTAATTGAAAAAAAAAAAGTTTTACATCTTTGAAAATGACGTAATTGTTTAATAGATTTTGGACAAACGGCAAGCAACAAATCAATTTTTGCTTGTGTTCCTGTTTACCATACCATACCAATTAATCAATACGTCCAAGATACTATTGGGAGTAAGCACAGGGAAACCCGAAGCAAGTTGCGACATTTGCGACATTTTCTCAAAAATGCAAAATTAAAATAATGTACAGTGTACGATAGCAACCATTTTCATCGCGGCACATTGAAACAAACAACTTTTTTATTAATATTTTTGCGAAAAGATACTCCCTTAAACTCTTACTTAAACTCCGAGCTACTTTTTAAAAACAAGATTTATTTAAATTTTATTACATTGCTATGGCAAATGTTTATTACTAGATGTAGTAATTATTAGAAGTGTGCATAGTTTACTATAAATATCTAGATAAAGTTAAGAATGTAACCAACTCTTTGACGGTCGTTCCAAGAAAGTGGGAATCCTGGTTTCATAGAAGCTGTGGAATACTTATTAGGAGGTTTAAGATTTATAGTCGGTACGATTTGCGATTTCGTAATTGGCCACAAAACATAGTATTTTACCTGCTTGCACTAGTATACTAAAAATGGTAAAACCCATTTACCTGCATGTGGTCTACTTATAATTGCCTGCTTACCATTCTAACGCCATATAATTGGCTTGGGCTAAGTGCAAAATATTATTTAATAAAAATTATGTAAGCGAGGCACGGCACAATGATACTGCTGTAGTATTTCTTTGGACGGCAGCTCTTCAGACAGTTAGCAAAGAAAATTAGATCAGTTGTATAACACATACAGAAAATATATTAAAAGAATACTGGGAAAAAGAGAATACATTTGATATAACTGTACCACTACTTGGTATTAATGTAGACGAAGGATCATTTTTTGGTAGTAGTAGTTCCAATTTTGACTCTGATTATGGACAGAGTTTTCACACAATTTATTCAACAAATTATCATAATTTTTTCATGTAGATTCGTCTACTTAAATATTCGCATATCATTAAGGAACACCCTGATATAGTACTAATAAAAATTATAATCTAAAATACATGAATTCATGTCCCAAGTAATATAATCGTGATCGTTAGTGACGGCTGTCCTGCATTGATCAGATAGACATTTAGGGCGGAACAATATCTGTTTAAGTATAAGTGGAAGTAAAAATGAACAATCTATTTTATTGCCGACTATGGCATCACAAATCGTACCGGCTAAATAAGAGTTTTACAGAGTAAGTCATAAAACCCCACGAATAAGTGTTTTTTTTTTTTTTGAAACGCTATAAACTCTCTTTAAACAAATCCGAAGTAACCATCACCAAAGGTTTTATGCATAGAGTAAAACAGAAACATTTGTAACAAAAATGGTTTTCATATAAATCTAGAAAAACTAATAATAAAAAAACATAAATATCCGTTACCTGATACTAAAACCTTAAACTGCGAAAAATGCTAGTTCGACCTTCTATCAAAAACAATTCCAAGATTTCCATTCGGTCACCAAAACTAACCAACTCACCATCAATGATAAACGCCGGACTCACGGCTTCGGTTGTGTTGACTGAAGCCTTGTAGCACAACGGGGTGGCGTTGTTGATGCTTTCGGCCATACTGTAGTAGCGGAAAGCCTGAAATTAGCGACGATGCACAGAGTTAATTGGGAACAGATATACAGGGTGTCTCAAAACGCATGTTCATTGTTTCAAAATATTTCCATCTGTTAAATGAACCTATGTCCAACAGAAATCCAGAGTGCTAAAAGTAATTTTATTTTTTCGTTTTTTATTCGTGGAAATGAGAACACATTTCACCTCTGATAAGGATGGGCTATATTCTGGTATTGAAAAAGAAAGAGACGTTTAAGAACAAAAAAACCTATTGTGAGATAATTGTCCCAATCAAGCCAAATTTTAATTAATTAATTATTAATCAATTAATTTTATTAATTGATTTTATTTATTTATTTAATTTGATTTAATAAATTTATTTATTTAATTTAATTAATTAATAATTATTACAAAAGAAAAAAACTTACAATATATTGGCATGTATTGACTTTGAAATATAGGTTTAAACGACAAGTCGAAATATTTTCATACAAAAAATATGCTGTATTCTATAGCCCATTCGTTCTGAAACACCCTGTATAATAGAGACGACATTGTTTACAATTTAAAGTGATGGAAATATCTTTACGGGTAGTGTTACAGACGTACGAGGGTCACTTTCAAAGTTTCCGACCTCACCCTGAAGATGAAGGCACCAATTACTAAAAGCTAGTGATGGTAGTTGTGTACCTCTTGATAGTTACTTACGAAAGTTGTAGCTATTTTGGGCGAGTGGTTTTTAGTTGAGAGTCGTTTGAGTGAGCATATATTGAAAAACAATAGGCCTAGGCAAATTAAAGCTGAGTTGGAATTTAAACGTGGCAGTAAGGGCCGAAAAAAGCAAATATTGTTTTTCCAGCTGGGAAAGTGTTGGAGATTGTGCATGCAATCATCTCAATCGATTACCTTCAAAACGGAAAATCCTTTACAGGATCATACTACGCATCATTATTTGACAAGTTGAGGGTAGAAATTGAAGAAAAACGGCCATTTTTGCAAAAAAAAACTTGTTTCACTAAGACATAACTCAGAGATTGTTATGGTGAAAATCCGCGAATTACGGTTTCACCTGACCATCCGCCTTACTCGCCAGATCTAGCATCAAGCGGCTTCTTTTTGTTCCCTCATCTAAAAACTGCTCTCGGAGGACAAAGATTGTAGTCAAATGAGTTCACCTTTGTGAACGGGGTTAAAGCTATGAGAGAATCTCTAGAAGTGTATTGAGTTACAAAGAGACTAGGTAGAAAATTGTTAGGTCGGAAACTTTTCAAGTGACCCTCGTATAGAAATACCAATGCAACTTACACAGAATAATATTTTCATGTAACAAAATGATTCGTTAATATTTTGTTAAACATTACCCATAAAATAGCAAATAGTTCCTTGTCTAAGAATAGCAACATGGTTCGTAAGAAATGCCTTTTTTTATGTGACGATACTACAACGAGCTTACACCAATGTACTCGAGTTTTTGTGTGCTTTTGATTATTTTTTGTGAAAAAAGTGACTTTTTGAAATTGAAAATGTTGTGTTGGATATTGCTATCACAAACACTGATACCGGGGAGATTGGAATAAACTTGGAGGGGTTTGAATTCCTTAGCATCATTTCATGTGAATATAAACAAATCAAGGACAAGGACGAGAAATTCGAATCCGATATTATTTTTTTAAATGCCGAGAAACTATCGACATTTTATCGAGATAACCCGTTTTTTACATACATTCTTTTTTTTTGCCCCCCCCCCCCCCCCAAGGGACTTCGAAACTTGTAATTAAACAACCGACAAATTTTTTTTAATAAAAAAGTGACTTTTTAAAATTGAAAACGTTGTGTTGGATATTGGACAACTTGGAGGGGTCTGAATTCCTTAGTGTCATTTCATGTAAGTATAAACAAAACAACGACAAGGACGAGAAATTCGAATCCGATATTTTTTTTTGTAAATGGCGATAAACTATCGACATTTTATCGAGATAACCCGTTTTTTATCTACATTGTTTTGTATATAATTTTTTTACCCCCCCACCCCCCTCCGGACCATCATCATGCCAAAATTATCATGAGTTCATTTATGTTTTTATTGAGGATGGTCTATCTGCAGATGATAAAAAGTCCCCCAACCCCATCCATTTAATTGCAATTGGTTATTTTTTAATTATTTCTCAACCTCTCACAAAAACCGATAAGATTGTGTGATTTTTTTTTGTTTTGTATATTGTAGATGTCCAAAGAACGCTCAAATACATCGGATGTAGTTCGCGTTCCTTGTAAAAGTATGTCACTTTGTTTAATTTAACTATTTATAATATAATTTAGAAAATTTTAACTAACAAACGACTCAATATGCAAAAAAGAAAGAAATTTATTTTTAAAGTTACAAAAAAAATCTCTTAATATTTTTGTATAAAATTATTTTTTAAAATGTTTTTCACGATAGTTATATACCCCGAACGGCAGATTTCGCGTAGAAAGCATTATATATTCGCTTGTTGTGTTGTAAAAATGTTGATTATTTCAGCCTCTAAATAAAACTTTCTTTCGGTCTCTGGGTAAATAAATGTTTTTAAAAGCGCTCTCCGAAATTCGGAACATTTAAGTAGATTGAACTTGAAAAAAAAGAAATCTTTGTTTTTTTTTTAGTTTTTTTTTTTCACTCAACGGATCAAATTCGTATTCTACATCAACGAAAATTTCTATATCATCAATACAATGTTTAACTTGACCGATTGAATCGAAAAATTGGGTAAAAAAAACAAGAATTTCATATTTTTTTAAAAATAACTTTATAAAAAAGTATTAACAGAACTCTTTTGTACGGCGTGAGTAAACCTTAACTCACATTGTCAATTTGGTTTAATTCAACTATTACTAATATAATTTTCAAAATTTTAATATTGTTATAATTTAGCACCTGTCTATGGAATTACGTCGTTACCATAGCAACCGATCATATTCAGGCCCGCTACTCCACCCCAGTTGCGATCTGGACTTACGTAATGTTTAGTCCGGTTGGTGCAGTCCGGGCCTCCGGCTCCAACGACGTCGCCCGTGAACCACGCCAACGTCAACGCGACCAAGCTGGTGACCAAATTGGAGGAGACGTCTACACCCACGTAAAGGCTGTACACTTGTTTACCTTTTGGAACCTTCTGAATCAACAGGGGGTCAATCAACACTCAGCAAATGACATTAGACAGCAGAATACCCCGTAATTATCGAATTCCTCGAAAAATTCAAACGAAACACCACGGCAAATTGCTGGAAAAATTTTAAAACCCATTTTCTGGAAAATTTTCTTATATCAATGCTACTTACAGTGAGACACCTCTGAGAAAAATTCAAATCTTTTTTGTTAGATGCTTTTTATTTTCCGGAAATAATTGTCGATTATTAACTATAAACTAACCAAAATAGTTTGCTTAATCGATTTTAATAAGCTTGGAGTCATTAATGGCTATGAAACGTGCTATGAACCAGATGATTGTGATTGAGTACCCTGCCACCAGATGGCGTCTTCTGACTTAATGTCAACCAAAAATTCTGAACACAAATTAAATGCAACGATAAAAGTTTTTTTACGTCATTAGATAATCAAATATGAGCCCAAAAACCTAGTAAAAACCGCATCTCAATATCTTTATCCTAACCTCTCCGAATATTATGGAAACTAAACACTGATAACGATAAAACAAAATTGATTGAGAGGAAAATCAAAGGTCGTTATAAATGTTCTTTTTTTTTTCTCAAACATCTCACTCACAGCATGTTTGATAGCCTAGAAAACACTTCTTGAGGATCTGAAGCCATTTCAGATCCTCAAAAATAATTTCCAGAATTTTCTCTTGGTCGATTTAGTTCTTTCTGTTAACGTTCCCGTACTTCGGGAAAAAAAAACTTTTTTTTGCAGAAAAATACTGCACTTACTTAAAGCTTCATGTCTTTTTGCCTAACAGACCTAGCTACATAAAAATTTTACGGAGGTTAGCTCATAGATTTATTCGAATGACAATACGCGACTTTGATGGTAAGACAGGTAAAAACATTTCTCTCATAAATGACAAAACAGTTTTAAATAAAGCACAAACAACTAAAAAAAAAGAAGAATTCAAAGGAATCTTCAACCCTGGATATTTTAAACTGGTTTCATAATTTTTATTTCAAAAACGACATGCTTATTTATAAACGTCGTTTTTCACAATATTTTTGAAACTTCGCGTTATTACAAAAACAAGAAATTATAATTATTACATGTGATATACAGAGCGTTTCATAACAACATGCTTGTTCTCAAGGATGTGATCACTTGGATTATTTTTAAGAAACACAGGTTTATATCAATGATCAATTGATGTAAGGAGTGATGAAATTAAAAAAAGTTTTTCCTCGTTTTCATTGAAACTGTTTTAAATTTCTCAATTTATACTGTCCCTAACGAAAGATGACAGAAAAATCTGATTTCTTTTCCAGAAATTCGGACTTATTTTTTACAAGTTTTGATTTCTTCTTCAAAAATTTGCCTTCTTAAACTACAACCGGACTTACATGGATATAAACGTTTCTGTCTTATTACAAACGCCCTGTAGATTTAATAAATTTTCCTCGACGACTTAACCCCATGTAGCATTGAAAGGTTATAAATTAATAATTGTTGGACTGGCATTATTTTTTTGCCACGTGGTATTTACGTCGGATTATTGAAATTATAGACTTTGTTAGACATTATCAAAGTGTTTTTGTGTTCCTACTTTCCTTCAATTAAAAATTCTGATTTAATTTAAATTTAATTTAATTTAATTAATTTAAATTTAATACCACAGTAAATGTAACAAACATACCTTTTGCACGGCCTTGTGCACCTTGCAGCTAGCGTTTTCCAAATAGCAATAGAACAGTTCGTCCACCTAAAATCACAGTTATATTTAGATTAGCATTATACTGAACTAAATTAAAATTAAATTAAAAAAAAATATCCTGTTAATATGGAACACCTTGACATTTTCATAAGTCTCCAGTGTGCTTTATACATCGCTATCCCAACATCAAATGTTTTACACAGTTGAAGAATATTGCCTGCTTTGATTGAAATTTTAGCATTTTTAATCACAGGTTTTAGTAAAATAGGTTAGCTTTGTGAAAAAGTATATATTTAACCTTATAAAAATTAAACTTTTTAATTTTATTAGATGACACTTTTGGGTCTGCTTATGAACCATATTTGGACCACGCAATTTAAAATTTTTCCTATTCAGTTGAAATATCTGGAATAAAACCACAAAATTTAAGAAAGGCTCGGGATAGCATGATGTGCGTGATTGACGCAATAAGAAAAAAACAGTCACCTCTTCCAAGTACAAGAAGTAGAAGAAAACTGATGAATTAGAAGAGCAAGATGATGAGGACAATGATGTGGAAGAAATTGCTTGCCGTTCTGCGATGATTACTTCAAGAAGTTATTTTGATTAAGCTAGACAACAGGCTTCTACTCGGTGGTATTTTTCCACCTAAATTAAAAATTAATAAAATAAGTTCTATATTTAAGTCTGGTTGTTGAAAATGTATGGACAATTATCTCTCTATTAGTGTTACTAGTGTATTTACAAAAATTGTTGAGACTGCGATTAAGAAGAGAATGATGTATTTCATTAGTAAATACATAGATGTCGCTTAAGAGCGCGTATTTCTAATGCATTATCATTGCGTGAAGAAAGAATAAAAGAAAAAAAATCTACTTTTATTACTAAAAACTCTTGCGTTAATCCTGGTTGATCCTTATCAGCAGGAGCACAACATTTTAACATACACATGACAAGAAAAGAAACACTTGGAATGAATTTAATATCTTGTGCAATCTCCATCCGCATCAATCATAGCTTGAACACTTCGGCTCATGGTCATGAAACGAATTATGAAGTTTTCTTCAAGCAATAATTCTTCCCTTACTTCCTGAACACCTTACCATAGCTCCTCGCTGTTTTGAGGTCAGGACTGTTACTTGGCCATGGCAAGGTTTCTATGTTGGCATTTTAGAGCCACTGTGAAACGAATTTTGCAGTGTGGACAGGACAGTTGTCCTATTGGAAAATATAATTATTTTTGGGGTAAAGCTACTGCACGCTGGGCGCCATAACATTCTGCAATATTTCGCCATAAATTTGACGAACAAATCTTTCCTCAATCCATCATACCACTCCCATTACTCTAGATGAAATCTGTCCCCATATATTTACATTGAAGTTGTCTTTACCTGTTCAAAAATCGAGAATTGAAACGCCTGTTGTCTGGTCTGTACCCTTTGATTTTACACTTTTTTGAATAATGAAAGATTTTTCCACCAGAAAATATGACTCTATCCCATGCTCTGTTGAGATGCGATGCCTTAATTCTTAATTCCGACAGAATTCTTGCATTCTACGCTCTTTGAACTATCCAAAGGAGCGCCTGACCTTCTTGAACTGAACAAACATTTTGTCTGCCAGATCCACTTTGCCTTTCAAATGTTTCTTCTTGCCTCCAACTTTAATTAATGGAAAAAGCGGTTGTTCTGCTCACATTAAAATATCAATCTACCGCTGATAACGACCAACCATCTTCTAACTTGGTCACAATTCTTGCTTTTAACTCTCTGCTCGTACGTGGAGCCATTTTAGGCTTCCTTACATTTTGTGTTTTTTTTACTTGACAGTTACAGTATTAGGAATATTAGTATTAAAAATCTTACCAAAGTATAGTCGACCGCCGCGTCTCCCGTGTAGTTCCGATCGGTGACCTCCTCGTAGATGCTCTTCGCCACGGTCCAGGCCACATCCCCGACATACCTCTGAATGCTATCTTCGAGGATTTCGCTACCATTTTGATACTCGTACAAGATATTCGAAGCGTTGTCGTACAGAGAGTTGTAATAGTGATTTCGATATTCTTTTTGGTGGTTCGTGACCAAGAGTCCTGATTTGATAGCGTCGTTAGTAAGGAAAGTGTGGAGGGATGACGGAGGCAGGCTATCGGGCACCGAGACCACGGGAACGCTCGCCATATTATTAGAACCTAACGAGTTTATAAATTTGGTCACCTGAAAACGTAACTCTATTAGACTGGGCCCAAAAAATCGAGTATTTAAAAAATATCGTCAAAGTTTCCCTTATCATTAATAAATGATTTTTTTGATTCTTTCATCACGATATCATTATGGCCTCAACACAACCAAACGATCGAGTTAAAAATATTTATCTGAATATTTATTTTCAAGAAATCAAGCCTATATTTTTTGAAAAACATTTAATGCTCTACAAAAAAGGTATCGTAACATTTTTTCAAAAAGTTTTTTTTTTAATTATTCGCGATTTAAATTGAAAGAAAAATTAAATCTATGATTTTTTTAGTTTTTTTCCACTCAACGGATCAAATTCATATTCTACTTCATTGAAAATTATCAGCATCATCAATAGATTGTTTACAATGTCTATTGCATTGATGATATTTCAACAAAACAAGGATTTTATAATAACTATATAATAGACTATTAAGAAACTCACCTATTTGCTGCATCTCCGAAACCACAAATTGGTAGAGTTTTGCGGTAAAAATAATTATAACTAAAGTGACCAAAAGAAAATACTGAAAATAATTTTAAAGTTTATATTTATGCCGCTAGGGGACGTTATAGCTTTGGCCCGGGTAGAGAAAAATATTACCACTGACCATCTTTTTGACTCATTGTAAAGCATCAAATAAGGGCGGAAGGGAAGGCAAATGTTTGACTTTTTGAAATGTCTATAACATTAGTTCAATTCAACAAATTAGGTCTCGTTTAAAACGGGAAACCTTGCTCATTCAGAAAAAATCACACCTATAACAATAGATGTTGTATTATGACTTTAAGACAGATAAACAAAACAAGGATTAAACCAACTGTAATAATAGCACAATAAGAAATAAGTGCTTGCTTATGACTGCACCAACCATTTTAAGAAATTTGGTGCGAAAATTTGAGCAAAGCTTAAATTAAATTAACTGAATTAAAATATCAAAATTTGAAAGAAATTAAAATTTTGCCCATTTTCTGACGAACCAGTATGTTTTTGAAATGCTCTTTTCAAGTGATGATGCATGAAATTAGAATGTTTTATTCAAATTTGTTTCTTTAAATTATTTAATATTTTTTAGTAACAAAACTTGTATTACTTTAGTCCTGGCATGCTTGACTTAAAATTGGAGGTATTATTTGTTATTTCCAATGTTTAAAAAAACTATTCAAATTTAATCTACTTTCCGTTTCCGTACATAAAAAAACTGTAAATGTTGTAATTGACGCCCTCTAGCGGAACAGGCAAGGTTTCCTCTTTCAAACAAGACCTAATTTGCGCGAATTAGTTTATTTCAGACATTTCAATGTTTCAGGCATTTCAATCAGTTAGACATCTCAAACAAACATTATTTAGTCAAACGCATATTTCTACCATATAACGCCCCCTAGCGACGTAGGATATAAACTTATGAAATTACTTCCAGTATTCTCTTTTGGTTACTTTAGTTATAAACAATTATACGGAAATCTTTACAATTTGAGGTTTGAGAGATGTAACAAATAAGCTGGTCACTCTTTCAATTTTTGTTGTAAAGTTATTTTTTTAAAAATTATTATAAAATTCTGTTTTTTCTTTTTTAGTTTTTCACCCAATTTTTTTGACATTTATTGAATCAAATTCGTATGCTACACCACCGAAAATTATTATACCATTAATACCATCACTAATAATAATTTTAAAAGCAACAATTATATTGTTTTACTATTTACAATATTTTACACATTTCAAACAACTTATTTGTTATTTTTAAAATTATTCTTAGTAATTGGATGGACAATATAATAATTGTTGATGATACAGAATACAAATCTGGTTCGTTAAGTGGAAAAAATTGGGCGAAAAATGAAAAAATCAAGAACTCCATTTTTACTTCAAGTTCAATCTAGAGCAACTTAAAAAAAAAAAATTAAAAAACAATATTAAGAGACCTTTTTGTAGAGCACTAAAATATCTTCGAAAATCAAGGTCCTTGTTTTTGTATTTTGAATTGTTTGTTTGCTAGAAAATTCCATAATGAAAAAGTTAAATCAAAAAACTGAATGTTGTTGATTTCTAAGAAACGCTCGTTTAACGAAAATTTTCGATCAATGATTTTTTATAGAAAATTCCGTTTCTTACAACAATACATTTAGAAAAATATTTTTACCTCAATTGTTTGACTTGGGGTCGAAAAATTAGAAAATACAAATGATAGACTGCCTATTGTCACCACGACCTCACATTTCTATTTATCATTCAGAATGACTTTATCGATATATTTCCCAAAAAAAAAAAAAAAAAACAGTCTGAACTCTATAATACATTCAGGAAACAGGGAGGGAATCTTACTTTAGAGTTTGTGCGGCTTAAGTAGTGAACGTAAGTCTTCGAACCCATGCCCAACTGCGACAGTTCTATGAATAACGAGACATTTTCCGGACGAATTTTCGGTAGGACGTTATTGTCCGGCTCATCATTCGGGAACGACCCAGACTCCATGTCGTAGAGGAGTCTCTGGGACCCAATGTAATCGTAAGATTCCCCATTTAGAAACACAAACAAGACGTTTTTCTTCACTACAACATATTTCATATACAAAAAATGAAATTAGTGAACAAAATACGCACCATTTTCAAATCTGCTGGGTAACATCTGCTTGAGTAGTTTAGCAATGGTCAGCACCGACACGATGCCGGTGACTGGACTTTCCGCCCCCGCTGTCTTGTCAAAAAGGGATGTCGTATCAAGCCTTGCGGATACTATAATATACTCTTGATCGTTAAAAGGCTTTGTGTTATTGTCGGGGCCCTCCACTAGAGGAAACAGGGATCCCCAAATACTATCATCGCCCAGGGGGTCACATAACTTTACAGGATTTAAATTGGTGACCTTATTTGAACGCCTAAAATAAAAACGCACATAAATATTACACTCCCGAATAGTAAAAACCTGCACTGGGCATGCAATTTTGCAATGTACCTTTAGATCAAAAGTAATGCTGTCGGAGTGGACCAAATATCCAGAAAAACATTAAAACTTCATCTACCCTATTGCTAATATTAAAAATATCTTCATAATCAGCTGAAAAAATGCCTCATTGCCCTTTTGCCTCAAATTTGAATGAACTGGGACCAATTCTTAATGCTGCCTCAAAAATACGTGAAAAGGTGGTAAATGGACAAATCATAAAATTTCCCTCTTCCATTAATATAATACCGAAACTCCAGTCAGGGGTCATAATCAATCATAGCTTTGCTCAGGATTGCCAGTGATATTGCCTCTACTTTTAACGAAAATAAGCGATCCACCACCTGGTGGTCAAATGTGAAACCATTGGGTTTCACATTTATTGATTTATTATTATTGTAGTAGATGCTTTGCCACTCTTCAGCTTGTTTTGATAATGGCATACTGAGTTTAAAGTTCAAATCATTACTGTTGTACCTAAATGCCATTCATGGGTAAAAAAGGATTCAGATAGAGTTGAGACTTCTTTTCCCAGAAAGTCCATTGCCCAACCACATCCAACATTTAATAAGAGACCTACTTCATACTTTGACTCTAATAGAACCATATATAATCAAAAGTAAAAGAAAGGATAAGAACCTCTTTATTCTCACTAGGAGCTCATCATCAAATATTTCATGGGGGCTATTTGTAAAGCAATTGTTTAAAGGCAAAACGCACATATCTAGGGTTTTACCACGCACGATAATATGCTCTGTATTAAGAACTTCTATTATAACTCTAGAATGTTAATTGATTGTTACCGATATATAACTTATTTTTCTTTTCTCTTTTTTATGCATCACAAACAACAAATTAAAAAAAAATTGTAATTCAAAACTAGTCAGGTTATGTTACAATGTACTACACAAATTTTCACTGTTGTTGCGCTGCCCTATAATTTGACATTCCAATTATTACCCTTCTTTTTGCCTTTGATAGTTAAAATTTTGATCTCCCCATTTAATAGTTTTATTTTTTATATGATAAAGATTATTTTATTTTATTTTCATTACCTTTGACAGGTCCGAGTATCGGTAGTAGCAAACATAAAAGCATTCAACTCCAGCGAACACATAGACCGATCCCTTTGTGTCGAGTAAGAAAAGTTGTTAAACTTCCGGAAACAATCTCTAATTTTGATAATTTGCGAATAATCCTCGATGTAAAACATTGGGAAGGGTATGTCGGCGTAAAGCAACCCGGTACCCCAAGGGTTCCAGCCGTCTGCGTTGCAAGTACCCGGCAAACTGTACCTCTCGTTGGGACACTTTTTTTCATGGCTGAAATATTCGGCCGTCATGTTACTCGGATAAACGAGCGCCCCGGCCACTTTCTGGCTCGTTACCAGTTTATTCAGTAAGTCAGCATTGAATAACTCGTATGGCAGGACTGGTATGTAGGGCCAAGCTGAGCCGTTCTTTAAAATAAAATCTAAATCGCCTACCGTATCACAGATATGAACCACCCCCACAGAACCGCCTCTTTTAGCTAAAATATAGGTTACTAGGTGGGGAAATGAATATTTGGTAGGTTACTCACAGGAGCACCCTACTTGATGCGTGGCGTTCATCCGCCTGAAGCATCCCATCTTGCTTTCGATTGGCTCGTACATTTTATCTTTTGTCCTTTGTGCGTTTCCTGTAAATATATCGGTATTTGCCTAGTGAGAGGTTATAAAACCAAAACCTACCCAACAAAACATTATGCACCGAAACGAGCAGGACCAGAGCCAAATATGACATTTTTAACATGTCACCACCATGCACATCAGCGTTTATAAGTTCAATTGTGCAAAAATTTACAATATCTTCTTGTCACTGTCATGTGTCAAAACTGAAAACAATCCATGGACGGGAACCGAAATAAGTGTGGGCGAACTTGACTGGAATTTTTGCGAACGGTAACTTCGTGTGATTTCGAGTAAATATTTAAAATTTATATTTCCAAAATTTTTTGGTTAGTTTTGATGTGTCTGTTAAAGACTAGTGTCGGTGATTACCAATTAATTATTTCACTTTTGCAGTCAGGTTCGCCGACTGGCTAGACGTTAGTAGAGTTGAATTATCGACGTAATATCTCCGCCTTCCGCCGCCAGATGCCGGCACTCGCGCGACCCCACGAACCAAAACAGGAAAAGTAAAAAAAATCAATATGGCGAAAGTGGCAGTGTGGCGTTAAATTCGGTCCGCTGTGCAAGGCTCGGCGTTAGCTGGCAACACTGTGTGGTATCGGGACCGAGACGCTGATGTGTTGTGGCATTGTTTGGGACATTTTTGAAGTTTTTTAGAGGCTTTAGTGATCGTTGTCGTGTGAATTGTGCGTCGAGTCGGCCGCAAATTTACAATCGAATGAGGTACGTAAGCAGAGCTTTTCGTTCGCGTAATTTTAAGGCGACCCGCTCCCATAACCTACGGCCGCCGCTTCGGCCATAGCTACGACGGGAATCGCTGTGCGCTGCGAAACCGGGACGGAGGCGGCTTTGGGGGTCGGGTACCACGAATCGTCGTAACGAGGTTAAATTATATTTACGGTATTATATATATTTATTGAGACGGCTATTTCCGTCGACGTGAACGACTGTTAGAGTAAGGGAAATTCCTTTTGTTTACCCGCGTGTGTCCGGTATTTTTTTTTGTATCAGTACCCGAAAACCCGTATTTGAACAAAAGTGGGCATCTCAAGGTCGTCGTACCCAGTCGGATCGGTATTCCGTCGCGGTCTACCTGCCGAGAGGACCCACCTCTCTCATACCCGTCGCGGAGAAATGGTCGTCGAAATAACAGGGAAAAAAAAGGGGGAAAACAAAGGGACGCGCCGTCCTCCGCCCCGCCGCGTTTTCTTAATCTAGACAGCGGCGTCGTAAAAGCGATTGGTCGGTTGGTTTCGAGAAAATTTGCGTATCAAATCGACGTGTTTTCGTATATAACCGAACGCGGAAATATTTTTCGGGTTAAAATACGAAAATCCGCTTCTCCCTTTCGCGTAGTCTCCCCCTCGGGGTTTCCGAGCGAGGGTTCCGCGCACAAAAGGGCTTTTATTCAGGCCCCCCTTACTTCGAGGGGTGAGAGAGCCGCGTAGGTAGATTCCAATGGCCGTTTTCCGATTTCGTACGCGTTGCGGGGGGGGAGGTCCGTCTAATAATTAGTGCGACGTTGCCGGCTCGTCGGGCGGAACGCGTGGCCCGCTCAAGGTCGCCCGCGCGGCTCAAAATGGCCGGCCAGCGTTGCCGCGCCGTGCGAAGCAATAGAAACTATTAAATCGGTCCAGCGGTGCCGGATTGTGGCGGATTTCTAACCGAGTAGGCAGCGACGATTCGTCGGCGTCGTAAAAAAAATCGCCGACGATAATTTGGCGACGCGTACTTTATCGGGCGCGCTGATTGGACGAGGCGCGCGGTTGGCCGTGGACGCGCGCACGCGCGTGTCTCGTTCGCCGACCTTATCGTAAGCGCCTCGCGATCCGAATGAGAGAGCTTGCCGGTTACGTCGCTGCTGGTGGGAGTGAGCGGCGAGGACGAAATTCGGTCGCGATGTGCGGGGCACGCGCGTTGCGCCGACCAATGGGGTGCCGGCTCGAGATCGGACGGCTTCATGGCGCGCAGGTCCCGCCCACCGCTCACTTGATTGCTCCGCGTTTCGGTGAAAGCGACCGATTTCGGTGGGATTGCGAGAGCGGCGGGTTCGATGTCGACGATCGATGTCGGTTGAAGATTTATTAATTTGTTGGCCGATTAGCGAATTGCGTATCGTGACGAAAAATGGGGTTAGACAAAACCCAAAATGTCAATCGTCCACGGTAAACATATATAAAAATTGAGAATTACGTTGACGATTTAGTAATGCCAAGTTGCCCAAGCGCGATATAAGAAAATGCGATTTTCGAATAATTATTCGTCCAAAAATTTTTAAATTATCGTAATTACGAGACTCCTAACCTTAGTTTTGCGCTCGATTTGACGTAGCTCTTTTAAAAGTGAAATCGACCCACATTTTATAATCTCGTCTTAATTAGCGTTCACAATATAGGTGAAATTGAGTAAAATGGACAAAAAAATTGCAGATGAGATCGTTACTCTTTACAGAACAATGTTTGCATGTTCAAATCTAAATTCTAAGTTTAAATCCACAGGTTGCTTGAAATTATCGTTGTTTAATTTTGAGAAGATACGACAATTTACGATTTTCTAAAAAACTTTTTTTTTGAATCTTAACAATTATGTCAAGTATAACTGTAATTAGTTTATTCTCGTTTGGTCTTGACGTTTAGATGGATTCAATAAAAAACAAAGCAGCGTCTCTATTTTTTCTTATATTTAATGGTTTTTCACCTAAAAGTTGTAAGTACATGGGTATCAGTAATACTTTGGCCTTCTACTCCTCAATATCCATAGCATTGCATAAACTTCACTTTAAACAACGCTGGTTTTGTCCGTTTTCTTTTATCTCTTCTTCTTTAGTTTTATTTTTAACATGAAAACAGAATTTCAGCAAATGGCCAGTAAAGATAGTGTATGAAACCATAAACAACTTTACTGCACTCCCCACTTTTCCATGTTCATGTTAAAAAATGGAAAATTTTCACTGCTTCACATTCACACCCTGTCTAACGAAAAGAACACCGCCGGCACATCATAGTTCCAATTAGTTACATAGTTCATAGTTACAATTTGGACCACTGACTGATAACTCAGTTTAATCGATCACTAAGTCTCAATTAGACTTTTTTGATGTCCTATTTGACCGGTGTATTCCTTTTTTCGTAAAATTTAATTTAATTCGGTATCCTATTTAAAAATATAATAAATAATAATCCACTTTCTTCAGATTGACAAAAATATAAATATACAAACTTGATAAAATCACATCTTACCATACTAAAACCTACCATACTTCTAAAAATATTTTTTATTTCATACCTAATACTAATATTTTTCATTAAGTACATTCTTATTCTAATTTAATAAGGGTATTAACAAAAAATAACATTCCAAAAAAAGATACGAAAAAGTAAATAAAAAAAAACAAGAATATTCAATATTCAAAAATTTTAGTTAAAAATTATTAATAGCTGGTATTGCTTGCCCTATTTTGAATAGCTGCACGCCCTATCTCATTTTGATCCAAATTATTCCATATTTGGATAGTATCTCCAATAAACTCATTCCAAGTGATAGGAGTTAGCAAGTTCTTGAAAACGCCTGTAGATCATGTACTAAACATTCTCAATAAGGTTAAGATCAGGACTGATTGCCGGCTAATCCATAGTTTCAATTCAATCATTAAAATAATTTTGCAACATCATTCTGGGCATCATGAGGTCGAGCATTATCTTGCTGAAACAAAAAATTGTCACCAATGTAAGGGCCAAATGGTATCACATGTTCCTGCTGGATCTCCTTTATGTACCTATCTGCTGTTAAACTGGCATTATTAATAACCACCAAATCGGTACGAGCAGTTAAAGAGATTCGTCCCCAAAACATACCAAATAATCTGGGGTTCGGATATCTTTCATTTAATATTCGATAAATTCTTATATGTCCATCTGGTGTCATCTGGTCAATGAACTCGTTCTCGGTCTTCATCCGCCCAATGGATGTGTTTTATAGCAAATTTTAACCTTGCTCTCAGATCAGATTCAGCTAGACGTCGACAAACAATATCCGTTGAAATTCTGACTCCATTTGCTTCATGTAGCTGTGTCTGCAGCAATCTTCCCATCACAAACCCTTGTCTTAAAGGAGAGACTCTCAATAAGAGTGTTAAACTGGCGTAGTTATGCGATGTCTGCCTTTTGAAGTGCTTTCTGTAACGTAAAATCACACTCTGTCGACCAAATTTCTAGATTGGCCTTCCAAAATAAACACTTTACTACACCATACCTCACAAATGTAAATTTTTACTGCAAATGGAAAAACTTACAAAAACGTATGTTATTTATCTAAATTCCAACAAAATAAAAATAAGACAAACAAACTTCGATAAAAAAAAAACAACCGTTTAAATTTGGAACGTATGATAGCTTACAATAAAAATAAATATTTTCATTTTTATATAAATTTAAAAAAATATGCGTTAATTGTGTTGAATTATAGGTATATTTTTGCCGCCACGCTTTTATGAAACACCCTACACATGTACACTGTAATGCGCCACCCTGTATTCCTACCTATAATTCCCTACGTAATTGGCGACGCCCACCGTTAAATTACGTTCTTATTCCTCTTTAACCGATTAGCCATCGAATTGGCAACCACGCACCCCACCTGCCCTCGCCACCGATCCCCAGAAAACGATGGCGTCATTCTCTCTCGACGGCCATTCCTTTTTTTCCACCCAATTCGTATGCACCTCGTATATCCACGCTCCCGTATCCTTGCATTTGCATCTGTTTGATATGCGCGCGAGTGGAGCGACGCCTATCGCGTTTCCGAGGAAGCACCGTCCATTGTTATAATAAAGTAGTGTTACGGCCATTTTTCTTACGACACGTACCGAACAGGTCACGTAACGGTGATTCGACGTCACGTCCGCCGACGTCACAGTTTCTACGGTACTTCCGGTACGCGCGACGAAATATCTTCCTAAGGCCGTTAAATACGATATGCGCATGCGCTCTAATTGATTTCAACCAGTAAGAGCATGAAGCGTTCGACAACCGATATGACCGTTGACGTTTTTTGGATAGTGTTTTCTCGGAATCCGAGCAGAAAGTACGCAAGTGCTCCAAGGATGAAAAATGGGTTTTAATTTTTCCATCAGAAGTCAGAATTTCAGAAAATCTCGGAATATTTCGCCATTTTTGACTTTGCAAGAATTTAAGTGACGGTAATTCAGCTTACGATTCGAAGGGACAGTTTTTCTCGTAAAGGTATTTACCAATTTTCTTTTTACATTATTATTCTACTTAATTTTTCAGACTTTCTTGTTTACAACGCCGAAAAAGCATCTCAATTAGCCACTGGACCCTTGTCACTCTAATAATCCACATCAGAGATACACTTCCCCACAAGTTCTCAAAGAAAGTGAGTTCCATCCTTATATTCAAAACCTTATTTAGCAACCAATTTACCCGCAACATCTTCGATCTTTCAAAGATGAAACCGGCCATCAAATCTTATTCGATCAAAATGGAATTCTTGGATGTAATCATTTCTTCTACCAAAGAAAAAACCGTCAATCCACGGAAATCTCTAAACTGACCAAACCATAGCTCTGGTCTTTATCGGTCCCCCTCCTTTAACTCCCTCCGCCTCAAACAATATATAAGCAGGTACAGAGTAGAATACAGTTGCAGCTAAATTTTGAAGAAGCCAACAGGATGACTGGCGAAACGTCAGCAATATCGGCTTAT